ATTCCCAAAAGCAGAATTAATTGTAGGCTGAATTAGTGTGCTTCCCAGGCCAGGAGCAGATATTTTTCAAAGCTATTGTAGGAAGCAGAATGGGCAAATTTAGGACTTAGATTTTAAATTCCAGGTCTCATTCTCAGTTTTCAGTTAAGTATTTGTTGTTGATGCTTGTTTGCATTAATTGCGATCATTTCGAAGACTTGCCAGAATGTTTGAAGTGAATTTTTTTTTCTCATTGTCTCGATGAGCTTTCTCTTTGTAAAGCTGCAGACGGGTAAGGCTGGGCTCTGGGACGGGTTCGTGGTGGCTCTGGGCAGCGCTTGCAGCCCTGGGGGGCCCAGGCTGGCTGCCGTGCGCCGGTGGCTGGGAGGAGTGGAGGTCTTTCCCTTGTAAAACACACAAGAAATCTGCAGAGGCAAGTATTTGGCGCAAGGCAAGGCTGTGGCGTTCCTAAACTTTGTATGTGTTGGAGCTGAAGGAGAGGGGTCCAGTTTACCTCCCTTGCACTGGGAATCTTCTTACAGCCGCACTGGAAACACTTCAGACTTTGACTAGCTTTATTTACAAAGTCCTGTCTCTCCCATTACTTAAATAACTGTTTGGCCATCCACCTTGTTCAGCGAAGCACCTAAATATGTGTGAAATCTGTGGAAGTTGCTGCTATTTGAGGTGCTCACTTATGCAAACACTGTTTTGCAGAGGGACTGATCTGTCGGGGAATGCCGCGTAGCAGTTGTGTGTAATTAGCTCCTCCAATTAAAGAGAACAAACCAACTCTCAGTTGTGCTAGCTCACAGGATATCTAAGTGCATCACATTTTAAGTTCTTCTGGTACATTTAGGCTTTTAGTTACCTCTTGTTGTTGTGTTTTGTCAAGAGCTATTGGCTGATTGCCTGGGATATGGTTATATTTTTTTTTTTGTCCCAGCATAAAGGAGTCCCCTGTGCTTGAGGGACCATAAACAAGGGGTGGAGAAACTAGGAACCTGCTTCTGTGGCTGGAGGGTTTGCAGAGCTAAATCCAGTTGACTGCAAAATGCTAAACTGAGGATATTCGGCAAGACTTCTGTGGCTGGTCCCATGCTGGTGGTTCCCAGTTGGGTATTTATCGCTTTGCAACTTCTGCGCGATGCCTGTGTTGAAATTGTTGCTGCCTGCTCGGAGAAGTCGGAGGCCATTTCTGTTTTTCTTTGCTTTACTTGGGCAACGCGGCTGCTTTGGGGGAGAAGAAACACAAAGCAGGGAAAGTTTTCTATTTGATTATTTTTATTTTGTTTTCCCCCCTAAATTGATTGCAGGGAGGAAAAAAAAAAATTAAAAAGACAATAAAAAGCAAATGCAAACAAACAAAGCCACCTAAGCAAAAAGAAAAAAAATCCCAAAGGGAAATAAAACTGCTAAAAAAGCAGCCTTTTCAGTGGACTCTGAGCCAGATTAGCTGACGGAGCAGGTCGTTTCCCACCACTAGCGCTCAGCCAGGGAAGGCACGGAGCGGTCACGCCGGCGCAGACCGATGCGGGGTTCACCGAGCCGTGGCTGCCGGGAGCTTTGGGGTGCCTGCGGGTGGGAATGCCGGCGGTGCGTGCTGGTGCGCGATGTGGTTTTAAACTGTGGCTCCCCTTTTCGTTCCTTGCGATACCCCTCCGTCTGGGAGCAGAACAACCTTCCCGCCAGCCAAACCCCTGTAAGGATGAGAAGAAACAGCTTTACGCCGCGGGCCAGCGCGGACACGGTAAAGCGCCCGTGACATTACAGTGTTGGGAGCAAACCTCTTGACCTGCTGGGGGCTTTCCCATCCCTGGAAGCTCGAGATGGGGCCGACCAGCCGCAGCTGCAAGTGGATGTCCTGGTGGTACCTCTCCTGCGCTCCCCCTCCCCACCATCACACCGTCACCCGCGGCTGTCAGTGGTCCTCTCTGAAATACAGACCCTTCCCAGGGTCTCGAACACCATCTCTGTTCCCGCGTGAAAATCATTCTGGATTAGACTCCCTTTAAAAAAAAAAACAAACCAAAAAAACCAAAAAACCCACCCCAAAACCAACAAAAAAACCCCCAAACCCTACAAAACCCAAAAACATACCCCACACCTGCCCCCCAAAACCCAAAGTTGCCCCATTTAAACTAGAATTGTGGTGCCAGAGGCTTTCAAAGTCAGGCTCTGTGCAGGTGAGTTTCCACCAGTGCAATAGGGTTTTGGCAGGGTGGTTAATTCTGGGTATTACCTCGATTTCTGGCAAAAACCTGATTGGAAAGAGTTATTAATACCCTCTTTGTCTTAATTTGATACTGCAGCCAAGTGTTGCTTTAGCCCCAGAGCAACTTGGTAGGAAATCTTTGTGCCCGTGATTTTGTTGGTGCCCGTTTCCCCGCAGATCCTGATGTCAGCAACTTGTTGAACAAAGTTTGGGCTCTTCGGGTGCCCAAATTCAAGCAGCCTGGATTTGGGGGTCTGGCATTTCTTCTGGCTTAAGAGCACGTAGGTCCTCATCGGTGTTGGATGCGAAGCCCCGTTTGTTTCTTTGCTCATTTAAAATCATTTCTCTGCTAAATTAGGAGTTTTTCTGTGCCTGGGAGAGCACAGGCAGAGTGGGCTGCACGCTGCTGCTGCCTGGCAGAGGAGGCAGAGGTTGGGGGGGGCTTTGAGGAGGTCTTGGCTGGGCCCCTCGTGCAGAGACAGCCATTGTTACCAAAGCTGTTTAAAAATAAAATAATCTTGGATACTTTAGAGGTTAATGTTTTCCAAGCCATTCAGTGAGCCCAGCTTCTTGTTTTCCTCTTCCCTGTTAGCAGAGTAAGTGGCCAGAGAGTAAAAGAAGGGGTGATGCTGCGCAGGTGAGCATTGCTGGGGTTTTCATACTCAGTGAAGAGCCTGAGGCTTAGGCATCCCCAAAATCCCAGAGCCCTGGTGGGAACTGACCCAGACAGGGCTTTGCACTGGGCTGGGTTTGGCCCACAGCAGTTCTGGATGAAGAATCTCAGCTGGAGAGGACCCTGACTACCTGAGGTCTTAATTTTTGGGTGTCTCCAGCTGGGCAGCCCCAGGACAGGGGTCCCTACCCCGACCGCTCCCCGTTTGCAGTTGTACCCTTCGTAATCGTTATGTCGAAGCGCTGACAGCTCCGGGATGAGGGAGCATTTAGTAAATGCTGGGTTCTGGGGCTGTGTGGGCAGTAGGGAACCGTGCTGTCCTGGGACCTCTTGCCTGAATGGAGCCTGTGAGATGAGCAGCAGTGGAGGAGGCGGCTGGGTGCTGCAGCACACGATGCCCACGCTTTGTATCAGCTCCTGCTGGGATACAAGCCTGCCCTGAGCTCCCTAACATGGAATCTTTGGGGTTGCTTCACTTCTTTCCCAGTTTGCTTTGCTGTTTTTACTATTATTTTTACATCTCCTTTAAAATGCACTATGAGCTATCCTGTGCTGTTTCTTTTTCCTTTGCAGCCTCAAGGGGGAAATGCTTGCCTGTGAGTACCACTGAGAGCAGCTTGTATGTACTCTCTTTTGGTTTAGTAAGTAGGACTTCTCTTGATTAACACTGCATGGAAACTACTTTGGGGAAAGACAAACGCATGGAGCAGAAGGAAGTCTTTTGCTGTGTAATAACCTGTCATTTAAGGGGGACCTCAATCAGGGAGGAATATGTTACCAGGCTGAGCCCACTGATCCAGGGGCTGTAGCTGGACTTACTGGTGCATTGTGCTTGTGCTGGCTGCCTGCAAAAGTGCATTTCACCCCGAGCTTGCTCCGTCCCTGGACCAGTACGTGGGATGGCTCCGCACTGGGACTGCTGGGCTGAGCCGCATAGCTTGTACTGAGCAGTTCTGGGTTCCACGTACGTCTCCTCTCCGCCTGGGACGAGGTGCGGGGACGTTACTGATGGCAGGGGTTTTGCAGGAGTCGTTGGATCATAGCCTGGACAGGAGCGGTGCTGCTCAGCCCCAGCTCCCCGAGACTCGAGGGAGCTGGGTGGGTTTAGCATGTGCTTGGAGAGCGGCTGGGTGGGCAAACCTTTCCGTGTGGGTGGCAGTTGTCACCTAGTCCTCACCATCACGTTCCCCTTGGAGGTGTCCTTGAATGGGGGCAAAGAGAGCAGGACTGTCTTTCTCCCACTCTAAGGAGAGAATATGTCCTTGTCTGTCCCCCCTCTCCAGGGAGCCAGCAGCCAGCGTCACCCGTGAGACCTTGGCTTCCCTCTCGGCCTCGGAGTAAGGGGCTCGGATGAGACGTTGGCTGCCGCCCCGCGCAGAAAGGCCAGAGATGCCCTCGCTTCGTCGTGCTCCCGCCGGCCCCAAGTCCTGTCCCCGAGCCCCTGCTCCGCTGGTGGCTGCGGCAGACCCCGCTGCAACCCCTCGCTTGGCTTATCGGGTGTTTCGCCTCGCGCAGTACACGCAACGCTGGTGCTTTTTGTCTTGTAAAAAGTTTTTTGGTTTTTTTTTTTTTTGCAATTTAGGTACTCTGCCTGGGGGCTTGGCTGTATTGCGCAGCAGGTCCCTGCACGGGGCTGCGGGACGGCTTTCAGCAGCGTGTGGCTCCTGCGGTGCCCGTGCCGCATCCTCTGCGCCGTGCTCATCCCCGTGTGCCAGGGTGACCCGCAGCGCCCGGCTGCTTCCACCCCACCTTTGGGAGCGTGGTGGTCTTCTCCCGGTGGGAGCAGCAGGCTGTGCTGGGGAGCACCCGAGGGTGGTGGTCCCTAAGGGTGGGCTCAGAGGTGGCAAGGCTTGTGTCCTCGGAGGATTCAGGTCGCTGCGTGTGGGCTGCCGGGGTCGTTGCTGACCTGCTCTTGCTCTCAGCAAAGCTCTGCTCCCTCCTTGCCTCTGCCCTGGGGCTCTGGGCAAATGCTCTTGCTGCAAATCCTCTCGCTCCTGGCGCTCTGGCGTCAAAGGGAGAGCTGGGTTTAACGCAACGAAAGTAAGGTGGTAGCTGGTTCAGTTTCCAGATGTCGGGTGTTAAGAGAGGGTCCAGGTTTGGGTGGGGAGCTGCGGCAAGGTGGTCCCCGCAGCGATGGGGCGCAGGTCTCGCCGCGGCGGGATGCATCCTCATCTCTTCCAGGCGAGGAAGGTGCAGCTCCTACCTCTGCCCAGGTAGCGTTCCTCCAGGCCTGAGAAACTCCTGCTTGAATGTATCTGGCCGTTTGGATGTGCGCTTTTTTAACTTTAATTGCGCTTTGTCCTTGAGCGAAGCTCTTCCAGTGGTTTTCTCAATGCGACCGCTCTGTCTTTCTCCGTCACCAGTATTTACACGTGTGTCCTAGGACGCAGGGGTATGGGATTGATCCTGAAGTAACATGCCTCAGTCTCCTATTCTCTAGTTTGTGGTAGCATTTTTAATAATGCTGCAAAGTTCTCTTACCGACTGTCCTGCCAAAGCTGCGGAAGCGCACAAAGCATCGAGCTCAGATATTGCTGTAGAGACTCTCCCACGTCAGGATGGCCGGCTTGGGATGGTTCAGCCCCTAGCAATGCAAAAAGGGCACGTTTCTCCTAAAGCTGCCTGTCTCCCTGGGTTTCAGAGGCCTTAATGTTGAAGATAAGGGGAAAAGGAGAAAGAACCTGAGCTGGGGGAGCTTGTGATAAATTTGATAAGTCGTTGTTCCTATACTGAGCGATATTACTTTAGAATCAAGTCAGAGGAAAATTATCCGTAGGCTAAAAGCCAAAGCCTTGCCCCTTTGGATTTGCCTTTTCTCTGAGTCAAAAGGAGCTGTGTGTTTAGAAAATGAATGTATATTCCAGCTTTGCAAAATTACTTTTCTAATGCTGAGCTTCAAGTATTTCATTTTCCCCTATGTTTAAACAAATAACACAGACTTCCTGGGAAGGTTTGCAGATAAATGAAGGTAACTTGGTCCAACTTCCTTGATTCCAGTACAAACCTTCTTCCTTCTTAGTGCTGGTGTTTTGCTTGAGAAAGTAGCATGTGAGCAGCTCTTATGGATTACCTCTGTCTGATGATGGTCACTTTTTAAGTGTTAATGTCAGGAAAACTGTTTGGATATTTATTGCAAATAGAAAATATGTAGGGTCCGGATTTCCTGACTGTTGGAATTTAAGTGTCTATGCTTACTGTTAATTGTCAGCAAACTGGCTCCATAGCTGTGCCATTTTTTTTATTGCAAAACAGTGCTGGTTAGGTAACAAGACAAATTGCACATACCAATTTACATATCGGTTTGCAGTCTCAAAGTGCTGCAGCCGAGCAGAGCGGGCACTGGGCATTGCACAACTGGAGCCTTTCTGAGCATTTTCTGTGCTCTGAGATATTGCATGAACAGCAGCTGTAGGAAATCCTGGCTGTCGGATTTTAACTTGTGTGATCGTGCATTTGTAAACATATAATTCACTTGTACTGACCTGAGTGTGTTCCTGTTGTCTTCTGGACCCTCGGTGAGGCAGTGGAAGGAGTATTATCAAAACTATAAGTATTGTGGTTAATATGCAAAATGGTTACTGTAATGTTTCTTACATTTGTCCTGGAAGTGTACTTTCCTATGGAGAAGATAAATAAAAGTGAGTAACCCTGAGTAACCAGCCCGCTTCGTTATTGCCTGCCGACCTACGAGGTACTCCAGTAAAGCTGAGCTTGCACGGTCTCAGGCTGAGACTGGGACACCCTTTGTCCGGAGCTTTGCAAGAGGTTAAAGGACGATGCAAAGCGTGAAGCAGCTCATTATTTGGTCGGGTAGAAGTAAATAAATAAATCCTCAGATGGTTACCATCATGTAGAACAATTATGTGGAGCTGGTTGGATCCAGCTGGTGCTGGCTGCTGCAAAGCGTCTGTCTGTCCGTCCCTGGCACTGAGCTGAGCTCTGCTGTCCCCTGCTTTACCATCTCCTGACTTACCCTTGGTATAACTTGTACCGTTTATCTCTTATTTGTAGAGGATGGCCAGTTTAACGGTGTAGAGGTTTGTGCTTTCATCTCGGATTCGGCTGGGATTTCCGTGGCTGGGAAGAGCCCTGCGGATGGGACGCGAGCATCCCCGGAGCACAGTGAGCCGTGCGCCACTTTGGCCAGTACTTTCCTCTGAAATGTGTTTTTAGAGTCTGTCTGTGTCTTTTCTTTCTGAATGCTGAAACGTCTGCCAATGACATTGGAGAAAATTTATTATGGAGACTTTTCAATCTGCTTTTAATATGTCTGAGCTAATGTATCCCTGGGCTTTCTGAGGTGTTAAAATAGTATTCCGCATCTTCCTGGTTAGATGGCAAAATTAACTGCAGTATATGTGAGGACAAAATGGTCATATCCATACTCGCTGAAGCAGCTTTTCTTTGGAAGATGTGTTACTGGACCAAATCCCCAATTATTTTTTTTAACTGTTACCATTTCCAAGTTCAAACGCAGTTATTGTGGTGTTTAACCACTGAAAGAGCTCCAGGTATCACTTGAGTTTGCTTTCATGACTGCTGATTTGAATCCTGTGACTGGAGCCTCTTCCTTTGCTTTGGGAAGGCTTTTTTATACAAGGTGTAACACAAGGCACTCATTAAGTCAGCAAATCCTGCGGGACGTCTCCTGTGAGGGGCAGAAGGGAATAAAAGCTCCTGTCGCTCTCTGGAAAGAGTACAGCTACCAGTGCTGTCAAATCTGAACTCCAGTCCTGCTTTACCTTTGCACCCTGATCTAATCCTCATCCTCTCACTCATTTTTCCTGGGCTTTGTGGATGCTTTTATCTATTAGAACAGAAAATTGGAGCATCGCTTTGCTTGGTGTCTGGGAACAGTGGGGCCGTGTGTGCAGAGTTTGCAAGAAGCACGTGATTTTTACCAGTTGTCTTTTTAACATACCAAATTTTAGGCCCACAACAAGTTTTTAAACTTGCCTACGAATAAGCTGTGAATGTTACTGATGTATAATGCTGCCTTTAATAAGTTTAAGCTGCTGTAGTATTTAGTGCATAGACTGTGAGACTCCCCTGTGGCGCAGCTCGTGTGATGGCTCTGTGTTAAGTCCCCACCGAACCCCCAAATTTGCAGTGTTCTCCCACAAGTCTTGACTTGTGTTTTGCCAAACTCCATTTTACTCCACTCCTGTTCTTGCACTAAGGGCAAAATCCTCAGGTTGGGCCAAGAAAAGAGCATTTAGGTACAAAGCAGGAGGCTGTTCTGAACCTGCTGTTTCTGGTGACTCCAGGACTTATATGAGCAACTTCTGGGACCCAGGTTGCTTATTTTAAATGTATAAATAAATGTTGGCCATACCCACAGTAGGGATCTGTGCTTGAGAAACATCAGCGCCCTGGCTGCAGATGAACTCAGAAGCCCTGAAGCCCTGAAGAGGTTTACCTGGGGATTTTGAGCTCAAACCTAGTTGTTTTAAACACTCCCAGAGCTTTAATTTGATAAAGGTGAGATGGAGAGGTCAATGGCGGAGGCCCAGGCTCTAATCCTAAGCCTTTTAGGATTTACACAGAGCAGAAGCGTGTGTTGATCTAAAGCAATTGCGCCACGGAGGGAGGAAATTCAGTGGGTGAGAAACTGAGTTTTATTAGTTTTGTTCCTCGGGCTGTTCCCACTGGGGCGCAGGTTTGCTGCAGCCTTCTGCAAGAGCAGCGCTCTCTGTTCTTTGGTTTTAAATGTTACAGTGCTTAGAAATAAGCCAGAAAAAAAAAGGAGAAAAAACGTTGAAGGAAGAGATTTATAGCCTGTTGCATGGTAATACTTGCTGTCAGTCTCCAGTAATGCTCTAAACGCACAAACCTGCACCGCATCGGGCTGGCTGCTCCTCCGGAGAAACCTCCCACTCTGCGGGGAAAAAGGAGTAGAAATGTACTGTGGGATGTTTACACACAATATGCTGTAATAACTTGCTAAGGAGTTAATTACATTTGTATCATCGAGTAGTTAATGGTTGTAAGGAGATAAAATATGTATTTTTACCTGCCAGGTTTCATGAATGTAGCTGCTAATATGTTGGCGGTTGAAACTTTTTTAATCACTGCTAAATATCAGGTCTGCAGTTTTGGATCACTGACTGTGGGTCCCTTATTCCTGTCGAGTAGGTACTTGCTTTGGCCGTGGTCTGCTGGGTCGTGGGATGGAGCCCCTCAGCCGTCTCTGCAGACGGCAGCATTTGTGCCTCAGTGCTTTAATTAAAGCCTAACTACAGCCTTTTCCTCCTGCGTTTTAACTTTCAAAAGGTGTAAATATGTGTGTCTAGAGCAGAGCAGCAGCAGATTTGTGATCGTCATCGTTGTCGTGCGGGTAAATCACACCTGACGTGGTGGGTCGCGGGGTCCTGCCGAGCCCCGAGCTCTCGGGGCAGCCGGGCTGGGGCGATGCCCGTGAGCCCCCGCATCTCCCCAGCCCTGTAACATGCTGGTGGGTCCCCGTGCCAGATATTTCCTTGAAATCACCTGATTTCTTTGGCACCGTGTGTGCAAATACCCCAGAATAAACAATGATTGCACAATGTACCTGAACTGAGGATTAGCAGTGGCTTGTGCTGTCAGTCGTACCGGCGCTGCTGTCTCGGGCTGAGTGGGCAGAGGTGGTGAATTTGGAGGTGTGGAAGTGGGCTTGGTGCCTTCGTGAGCATTGCACCACGAGTGGAGGGTTTTTTTCTGTATTTCCCTGACTTTCTCTCCATTTCTATCAGCAGAGGCGGCGGTGGCTGCTGTTACTTGCAGTGAGCAGTGGCAGGGCCACCCGTGGGACCTGCATCGCTGTCCCCTGCGCAGGGATGTCCTCCTGTCCCAGGGGCTGGCTGGCCCGTCAGCGTTATGGGTCGTTGTAGAGAAAAACGATGACTCGGGCAAAACCTGTTCCATCTCTGCTGCCAGCGATGGGGAAAAATTGGAAAGTGAGGGGAAAAGGCTTAAAACCGGGCTGGATAGCTTGAGTTTGTGTACGCTGGCTGTGACGTTAGAGCTGCCACTTCTCTGCAAGGCATCCCCTTCCCGGCAGCTCGGCGGTGGGTGACGGGAAAACCCAGCCCAGCCGCCTCCGGGCCGAGGAGCAGCCTTGGGAGGAGAAGCATCGCTGCCAGCGCTTCCAGGAACCGCCTGCCCCAGGGGTACGTCCCAAACTCTCACCCGTGCTCCTCCGAAGGGTACTGGGCCAGCACTGCTGGTGCCACCTCCGCCTCTCCCGCTGCTCCTCTGTCTCTCTGAACACCGTTTGCAAACTGCATCTCTGTATTCAGTGTTTACCAAGATGGGTGTTACGTGTCTACTTGCAATTTTGCGATGTTGCTGCTTTCTAATTTTTTTTGTAGGCTTAAAAAAAAAAAAATGCAATATATGTGAACTTGTGCTGTATGTTTCGCACTCCGTGCACTTAAGCATAAATATCCCATCAGCATTTATTTACAATAAAGGTATTTAAAAAAAAAATAGGTCTAGTTTCCTCTGTTTATTTTCCATTATTGTTTGCTATAACTGTGTATTGTGTGCTGGTTTTGTGAGATAATGGTGAATTCAGGGAGTCTCTGGAAAGTGTTTGGAGGAAGAGGGTCTGCAGGGGAGGGCAGGCGTCCCTGGGCTTTGGGAGTTGGGTTGCAAATGGTGACTCCTGCACCCCAGAGCTGCTGCTGCCGTTCCTCTTCCCTCATCAATTTTAAGGGTGTTTTCATTGGAGCTGTTGGAATTCAGATTCTTAAGTTTTCAATGGAGCTGTTAGGGTAGGAACACTCTTTTTAAAGCATGTCTCTTTCTAGGAAAAAAAAAAAAGTCAAGAGGACCAACTGGTGTGACTCTAACTGGTGAGTTCCAGCATCTGCAGCTGGAAACCAGCTGGTCCCGAAGGGACTCACCAGCCACAGCCTGAAAAGAAGTGACCTTGGATGTGGTCAAGGAAAACCCCTTTTATCCCATTTATGCAGCCGCAAGCTGCGGGTTGAGAAGGTCTTAGGGGTGTTTAGCATCCATCGGAGCAGGAGACGGCTTTTGGCGTGGCTGTGCCCTGGCTGATGCTCACGGCCATGAGCACCCTGTGCGGGTTCTAAATAACGTCCTGCGTGCCTGTGAGGAAGCTGCTGATTTTTTGGCACACAAGTCAGCTTGTTCCCAGTCATCTGGAAAAAAATAAATCTAGAAAGCCTATGTTTGTGTTTGCGATTAACTGGATTCTTGTAAATATTTAGTGGAGGTCAGTGCCTGCTCAGGAGTAACAAGGGGCTTGTTGTGAGCAAGCCCCTGCTCGTCGGGCGAGGGCAGGCAGCCTTTTGCCGTGTTTTATGGAGTAAGAACTAAACCTGTTTCATTGCATTTTGGCATAGACTCAGGTGAACTTCAGAAAGGTAATATATCCTGCTCAATGTAGGGACATGTTAAATTTTTCCAGCAAAACCCCTCAGATTTGGCAGAACACACCAATACCTGCGAGAAGCACAACCTGGGGTAAAAAGGCCATTGCCAGGTTCTTGATGGTGAGTCAAGCCTGGATGAAGCCAGGCAGCCAAAGTGCAAAAGGAGCAAATGGTTACAACTTTGGCCAAAACTCTTGTTACTGGAAAATGACCCACCAGTGACAGCTGGACTGGGGAACAGCTTTCAGTGAGACGAAGGGCAGCTGGGTTCCCATCGTGGACCTGGGTGTTCGGCTCTGAGTGATGCTCCCTGGGACCTTGTGTGCTGCAGAGCTCCTGCCAGTGGTGTTTTTGTGGGATTAAGTGGAGCTGGTTGAAGAAACCATATTTTGAATGCTGGCCAGAGGCTTTTGAGGTCAGAAGGGATGAGCTCGTGGTTGACATGCCCCAGGGCGAAGCAATCCTCTTGAAGAGGTCCCCAAAGTGTCCCCAGGGTCCCTGGGCATCACTTGGGGACCGGCACTGGCCGGGTGCTGTTGCTGCACGGTGGAACGGGCAGCGTCCTGCTCAGCAAGGATCGTTTCAACAAAGTTGGCAGCTCCATGCAGAAAACAAACAATTTCGACATCTGCTTGGGTTGCGCTCAGTTTTCTAGTCTTTCACTTTGTGGGTTGAATAAACTACTTCCTTCTTGCTTAGAGAAGGAGTTAATGATTTATGGGTCAACTGGCACAACTCTGGTGTCTGCAGAATTCAAACTTTTCTGCGTGGAGCCGTGTCTGAGTGTGTGGGTGTACGATAAGGTAAGTCCTCCTTGAGTGCTGCGGTGCCTGGAGCCAGGGGGGCTGGGTGAGGAGAGTCATCGCTTTGTCTTGCAAGAGCTGAAGAGGCCGGGTCTCTCCATCTCCTGCTGCCAGACCTCCAGGTAAGACGGCTTTGAGCAATACAGCTTTAGGTGACATTGCTCTTCGGAACTGGATTGGAGCTTTCTTGCAAAGGTTAATAAATTAAATCAAATTAAACCAAGAGCTGTAACAAGGATTGAAGGAAAGCTAGAGAAATGAAACAGCCACAAGAAGCATTGGGTTTAGGGTGGGAGCATCAAGAAAGACTCTCTCATTCCCAGGAGGAAGGTAGGCACTTGGAGCGTACATAACATTGGGAGGATTTAGGCTCATAAATGATGATCCTGGATAACAAAGTCAGAGGCAACTCTTGCTGATCTCTAGGAGTGCCAGATCAGTCCAAGTTGCACTTAAATTCCATTTTCTAAAGCAATTCGGTCTCCTGAATGACTTGTATGCTTTATAGCTTTACTCCAGTTAATGTAGTTTGCACAAAACTGCTGTATCTTTTTGGTTGGGTACTTTGCTCTCTCTCTACATGTAATTTATTGTTAGGGAACTGTAGTGACTCCAGCAGAATTTCATCTGACTATGAATTTGCTTCCAAGAGATTTGTTACTAAAACAAAATGTTTTACCCATAAGATAACTTTCAGGGGACTTTTTCCAGAAGGCATAGATAAACTCACGGCCCTGCAGGTATTAATTTGGCTGGTTGGCTGGGAAGAACACTGTTGGCAATACAGTGTTTTTAAGTGGAACCTGAAGAGCTACAAAGCATTTATGTTATGGTTTGAGTGGAGCTGTTAGTCTTTCTTTTTTTTCTTTTTTTTCAAATTTTATTTTAATATTGATATCAAAAGCTGCATTCCCCAAAAATGCAAATAAATGAGACGAGTGGAATAAAGCCTATGGAAATTGCTTAACATCTGCACTCAGTTGTCCTGTTTACGTTGTATTTTCATGTCTCTGGGTCTGGTCTGCTGGACCCAGCCTTCCTCACCCAAATCTAGCTCTGCCCCAGCATCCCAGCTCCTCCACACTGGGTATCGGTCCCATTGGTCAGAGAGGAGCCAGCAGAGGAGCTGAGTATTGCAGAGTATTGCAATAGCTCCTGCAGCTTCTGGTCCCCAGCCACGACTGTAAGAACCGCTTAGGGGTGGAGAAATGAGACCTGTCCATATGAGCTATGGTTATCCTGAGTGTAAATACCCCCATGCTATTTTTTACAGATACTTTTGACCTGGAAAAAGAATGTGGTAACTTCTGTGGGTTCTCCAGGCAGGGAGGCTGGAATAAAGAAAGATGCCAGCTTTGGAGCTGGGGAGACAGAGGGATCGCACCACTGTCCTTGGGTTATTCCTCGCCGCTGCTCTTGTGGCTGTCCAGAGTAAGTGAACACAAGGAGGGAGCAAGTCCATCAGGATGAATTAAGATCCCTCAAAGGAAAACCTTCTCCTGGGGTTCACAAGACTTGGATCCTTCTCTTTTCCTCGTAGCCTTTGCATTTTGAGAACATTGTAAATCTTTGTGATTAGAATCCATCTTCCTTTGCCTTTTTTTCCCTTTCTGTGTAAAACAGATGTAAAATTATTCCAGCTGAAAAAGGTGCAAGGGTTTATACTAGTTGGGGAGAGGAAACGGTTAATCCGGACTTTGTGACCAGCCTTTGAAACTGCTGGATGAGGTGTGAGGGGCAGAGGACCACCTGGGGTGGGTGATGTTCCTCCCCTGTCCCTGCCAGCCTCAGCCATCCCCCGTCACAGACTGTGCTTGTCCTCTTTGCTTCTAGCTTTAAGGAGTTTTAAGGCCACCGAAGTGTCCTCACCTGGACCTTCAGAGTAAATCAGGCCTGAACACCCACTGCTTTTCCTCCCAGTGTCTTTCTGATGGAGTTTCTGTTGGTAGGTGTCTGCAATGCTCCGCCACGTTTCCCATCTGCAGAACTCAAAGAGGAATACCAAGGCATTACCTCATTTTCCCATAATTCAAAGGTAGAATACGTCTGTCGTCCAGGTTACATGAGAAACGTTAATGCCCGAAACATCCTTATTTGTGGAAGGAACAGTAGGTGGTACGGCACAGAACAGGATATCTGCGTACGTGAGTATATTTTGGGTTGACTTTTGATTTTGTTTTTTAATTTGCTGATGCAATCAGCTCATTTTGTCAGAGCAGCATCCAAAGTGACCTCATGGGATGGTGGGAGATGAGTGACCTGATGTGAAGCACCAGTTGTATTCCGCTAAGTACTGGCAATGATGGCAAAAGCTGAAACCTGCTTTGATGCTGGTTGTGTTTGCTGACTCAAAGGATGTTCTGCTCAGGCACTTTGTAACTCTTCGTTCAAAAAAGTATGTCAGACTTGCAGTAGGCGAATCCTTTAGCTGTGAAGAAACACTGTCGTGCTTGCCAGGGTTACTGCAAAACCCCACTTAGACTGCAGAGGCTGGCTGCAGGTCACGATGCAAGTCTTAACAGCATCATGAATTACGGAATAATTTAGGGTTGGAGGAGAAATCTGGAGGTCTCTGGTCCATCCCCTTGCTCAATATTGGAGGATTCTTCTGCTTGCCTGCTGCATTCGCCCAGTTCTTCAAGAAACTGAAATAAGAACTAACTCCTTTCCTGTTGTCCCCCAGCAAAACCATGTGCCTACCCTGGAGAGCCGGACAACGGCAGACTTGTCATGGGAGAAAATTTCAGTTTTGGTTCAACAGTGAGCTTCACCTGCAACACTGGGTAAGCCAGGAGCACTCAGGGCACGGGTCCTCTTCTTCCCCAGCCATTTTTCTGAAGTCTTTTCCCTCTAGATTAAAGCCTGTGCTGTCAGAGGCCTTACCAGTGTAGGTAATTGCAGACAGTGATTGAAATATCTTTTAAGCTTTCCTTTGAGAGCTTTAAGACTGACTGAGTTTTGTTAACCTCATACTTTGAGGCAGTTCTTCCTGAGCTCAAGTTCACTCTCCTGGCCCTTTATAATCCATTTCCAATGTTTCAGTATCTTTTTTAAGAAAATACATCAATACTAAACTCAGAGCTGTAGTGATAGCTACAGCTAGCTGATAAAGTAGACTTTTTTCCTTAGAAACCATGTAATTTTTTTTTTTTATTTAAAAAAATGCTTTTGTCAAAAGCCAGTGTGTCATTGAAAAAATGACATTGATGGCTAATTTCTGATCAGCTGTAATTATGATAAGGAAGCCAAAACCATCCTGATAGTGATGTTAAAGGTAATACATCAAAACTGAGTTGGTCAGTTGATTTCCTCTCCCCTGTTTCACATAGGTACAGACTGGTTGGAAATCCTCAAATTCAATGTGTGATTAAAAATGGGGTTGTTACATGGGACAGAGATATTCCCATCTGTGAGCGTAAGTAGAGCTCCTTAATTGGTCTACTGCTTAAATGTTACTGGGGATAGATAAAGAAGCAGTCGTGTTGCCCTGCTGAGGATTTCAGCAGTTCAATGCATGGTGGAGTCTGGAAAGGCATTTTTTTCTTGGTGTTTTTCTTCCTGCGTCATCCTGCAGAAAAATTATTCACTGTCTGGGAGTAAGGCAGCTGCACGTAAGACCGGTATATCCCAAAACCACTCGGTGCCCAGGTCAGAGCTCCACTGCCTGTGGGCTGGCTGCAACTCCTTTGAGACCTGCCCTTAATTTCTGACCCTTCTGGCACCTCGTTTTTCAATTTTTTTCTTACCAGACCTTTGGTTCAAAACTAATTAAGTTCCTTCTCTCTTGTTCTTCCCTCCCTCTACCGTTTCTCCCCGCTCCCTCCCCAGCCATACCATGTTTACCACCTCCAAAAATAGCTAATGGAGAGCACAGCGAAGCTGACAAAGAGCTCTTTGAATACGGAGCATCTGTCACTTACTGGTGCCACACTGTCAGAAGGGGAGAGACACCTTTCTCACTGGTGGGAGATGCCTCTATTTTCTGTACAACCACAGATAACATAAACGGTGTCTGGAACAAGCCAGCCCCAGAGTGCAAAGGTGAGGTGCTCCCATGCATGGGGTGAGTGCATGCTTGCAAACTGCAGCAGCACCAGCCGCAGCCCCTTCTCTGCTGCCTACTGCCTGGTCTGCTAGAGCTGTTTTCTTCTTTGGAGCTGTCTCCCTCCTTTATGTTGCTGGAATCACATCTTGAAGATGAGACCCTCTGGGTTTGGTAGCAGTTAACGGGAATTAGGATCTCCCATCGCAGGGACCGTGACTGCTCACGGTCACCATGTCAGCAGGGGGTGTGGGAGTGGGATTTTATTAGCGTTCGCAGACCAGACGATGCATCTTGTCTGCCAGCCTGTGTAAAACGTAACGCCTGCAAAGAATTCAGAAACCTGCGGTGATACCTGTTGCCTTTCCTATGTTCTTTTTACACTTAGCCTTAATAAAAAGTGTGAAATAAAAAAACGCCGTAATATGGGGTAAGGGTTTAAAAAATATCATGTCAGCCTGCTTCCTCATCATGTCCATTTTCAGCCTTTTTGGTGAACACGTCTCATGCTACGAGAATGTTTTTAATACCCTCATCTCCCCTCTTGAGCCTAACTGCTGATTTCCTAAGTGGTGGCGTTTCCCTGACACAGTGATTAACTGTGAGTATCCGAGCGTGAAGGACGGGAAGGTGCTGAGCGGGTACCGGCACACGTACACCTACAGAGACACCGTCATGTTCGACTGCAATTTCCGCTACACCATGAACGGCAGCGAAACGTCCACCTGCAAAGAAAACGGCCTCTGGGACCCTCCGCTGCCGCTCTGTCAGCTCAGTAAGTGTGGGGGACCGAGCACTCCTCCACCTCATCCAGCACCTTTGCTTCAGTGAAGTTCCAACCCATCTAAGAAGGCAGTAGGTCATGAAAGTGATGGCTCCAAGATTTAACTTTTGGGGTTTGGGTTTTTTTTTTTTGGCTAATCTCTCTGTAGCACTAAAGGTGACTTTAGGAATTTATGACGTGGGTCCATAGAGACTAAGGCTTTGTCCCATTCAAGCTGGTGAGCGTTTCTTAGTAGAATTCAAAGGGACTAAATTAACCTTTCTATATTTAATATTTTTAAAGTTTGTTGGTAGAGCCGCAGATAGTATAAACTTTATTAGAAATTACATCTCGTAACAGGGAAAATTACCATGCAGTCTGAAATTATTGGTCTGTTTTCATTTGTCTCCTTTGCATTCATTCTTTAGCATTACTGAACTCAGACAATTAAATGCATCTCAGAAAGAACAATGTGAGCCCATGATTTTTACCCAAATTCTCTCCCTTATGTTACATGCCATCATGGGCCTCACTGGTTTATCACTGGCAATGTCCCTAAATTGGTATTTCATTCCTAGGTAGCTGTGATGATCCTCCAGATGTGCATAATGCTTTTAAAGCAAAACTTGCTGGCAATCTGTTTCCTGTGGATACTATCATCACCTACGAGTGCAAGGAGGGCCATCAGTTCAGCCCGGGAGAAAATACGCGGCACATTAAGTGTCTGCCGGGTTTTACATGGTCTGAAACTCCACAACCTTGTGAAAGTAAGTGTATGTTCCTTTGGCTTACTTACCCTTATGATTTGGCAAAATTATTACTGAATGAAGAGGCTGTGTGTGGTTTTCTCTTGTGCAGATCGCAGGGTGGGGGAGAGAGGGGGGATGCTCCGGGGGGACAGCTTGGCACATCTCTGGTCTTTGCTCTGACTCTTGAACTCCTTTGATTTATTCTCCAGCCACAGAGTTTTCTTTGCTTTATTTACCAGCTGTGCTTTCTAGTCCCTTGAACCTGTGGAAAAAGTCATTGTGGTGCCAAGGGCCCCTTGCCCCATCCAAGGGGAGGTTGCAGTTGCAGAATCCCTTGCAAACACCCCGTCCCCCAGCAGCGCCCCGGGACGGTGTTGGGGCAGATTTAGCATTGTGATGTGTCTTTGTCTTACAAAGCACAAATCTGCTGTCATCCAGATGGCTTTGCTGTGGTTTCACACTTGCTAACATTTGGCATTTCTCAGGAATTCATTGCCCAAATCCAGATGTCAGGAATGGAAAGCTCTTAAATGCATGGAGAGAAAATTATGCATATGGAGACACACTGGAAATTACGTGTAATGATGGCTATGCTTTCAAAGGTCATGGCAATAGCATTGTGCTTCAGTGTTTAAGTGACGGTAGATGGGATCCAGAAGTACTAGAGTGCACTCCAGGTAGGTGAGAGTTGGTGAAGCATGTTGACTTGGCAACTACTTATTTTTGACCGCAAAGGTTTGGGTCACTCTGTACAGCGTAGTTGTCTGCTGACATTCACAGAAAAATCTACCTGTGGCCTTAGATGATGGTAGTAGTAGCCAAGGAGAACTTTGCTCCACTGCCATGTATCCCCGGATCTAGTCCTCCTGTGTTAACTTGGAAGAAATAGGCAGCAAAAGATCCAGATGGATCATCATGTTGCCTGTGGTTTGCTGTATAGACAGGGGGCTGAGCTGGTGTCTGGGGAGGTGGGATGCAAAGGGTTGGGTGCTGGTAGCTTTTAAAGGCTTAGAAGGTTCCTAAGAAGCCTGGGAGACATTTACCCAGCTGGAAGGGGATGTGGTTTGTGCTTTGGACAACAGCTGGGCTGGTTTGCTGACATGAAGCTTGGGAGCAGAGGATATTCTCAATGCATTTCCCCTCTCAGAAGAAAGTGCAACCACGTAAATAACTGACACTGCTGAAACTAATAACCTAGCAATGGGGCACCACAGCAATACCAGCAAGCTGCTGGAAGCAGCCTGAGCCCAAAAGCTCAGGAAAACCTTGCCAGGGGGAAAGAGCCTGCTCCACCTCACAGGACAGCCAGCCTTAGAGCATGGACGATCGCTTGTCCTGGCCCTAAGGCTGCCTGTGAGGCGCTCAGCAACCTCACGAGTGCAGCTCGGTGGGAAAGCGGGGGCTGCAGTCCCTGGGACAATAGCGGTGCGTGGTGCTGAGAGCCCTGAGGCTCGGCTCGGTTGGGCATGGACCCAGCTCTGCAGCATGTGCCTTTCCTAATGGCCTCAGAAAAACGTGACTGTAGAATAGAGTGACAAAGGAAGTGTTGAGACCTGCATCTGTATGATAGTCACCTTTTTTCCCAGGGTTCAGATGTTCTTGATAACTGTCTTCTCCATAGAAAGAATCTTCCCTGGAATTCTTTCTGAAAATACATGATGTCCTTTATTCTCCATTGTTTCTAGAAAGTCATTGCCCAAGGCCAGATACTGCTCATGGAACAGAGGTTTACAACAGCAGAAATGACTACACAGTTGGGACCCAAGTGAGGCTGGGATGTGATACGGGCTATGTCCTCAGGGGCCAGGACTTGACCGAGTGTCAGGCTGATGCGAGCTGGGCTCCCCCATTACCGTTTTGTGATAAAGGTATGTGTAACAGTGCCAAGAAGAGATCTCGTGCATCGGTATTCAGAAACAGCAGTCAGAAGGTGACCTGCCTTCAGCATCTGCTTCTGGGAACAGGATGATGATCACCGGCTCATGGGCTGAAAGTGTTCAGGTGTCCTCTCCCTGGAGATGTGACCCAGGTGGGAGCTGAGCGAGAAGTGGGTGCCTTGAGCTGGTGTAAGAGGCAAGAAGCCAGGCAGCAACTTCATGTGAACTTGCTGCGCTACAAACATGAAGTTAACTCTTGTACTGATTTCCCAGATGCAGTTTTGATTCTCACCTGAGTATGATAACTGTGCATTTCTTTTCTTATCAATTCCTGTTATTCCACAGTCTGTGACCCCCCTCCAAGAATCACCAACGGGCAGCACTCTGGCTTGAGAACGGAGCAGTTCCCCTACGGCGCAGAGGTGACGTACAGCTGTGCGGAGGGTCTGTCCCTCATTGGGGACGCCTCCATCTACTGCACCTCCGACGACGGGGTGAACCTGGCGTGGAGCGGACCTGCCCCGGAGTGCAGGGGTGAGTCGTTTCTCCTGTACGGGATCAGACTGAAGCCAAGACCTGGGTACGATGCTGGGGCTAAGCCCCAGCCCCGTTACCTGCCCTGGTCCAGGAGCTCCAAACCCAGAGCGGTTTAATGACTGTGCAGCTCCTCCAGCTCCTGTGCGAAGGTCTCGGCACCACGAGCTGCTCAGTAACCCCAGGGACTGGTACCATCTCCTTGGGGGCTGCTGCAGGCAGCTGAGGGTCAATTCTCACATTTGAGTGTAAAACTGATGCAGAGAACATCAGGAAGAGCGGCTCTGCCCCGCCGGACCTGGCTCCCCCTTGTCCCTGGGCAAGGGCAGCAGCCAAACCCACCTCTCCCATCTCCGTTCTCTCCCCGCAGTGGTTCGGTGCCCCAAGCCCACAGTCGAGAGGGGAAGGATGACTCCGCAGAGGTTCACGTTTCCCTACGGGGTGGCTGTGCAGTTCTCCTGTGACGAAGGCTTCATGCTGCATGGCGATGCTGAGAGCCGGTGCCTGGCTGACAGTGCCTGGCACCCTCCCCTGCCCACCTGCCAGCCAGGTGGGTACCAGACCCGGGCAGATGCCCCACAGCTGGTTTGCATAGGTGCTGCTCCTTTGAATCACCAGCAACAGGGGAATTGGCAGGGCGTTTTCTCTTCCAACTCCTCCCATTACATTATTTTTTGGCATGCATTTTTCTTGCAGTTCAGTGTCCCCAACCCTCAAGACAGGAGATGCTAGTGATTTACCCTGCTAAATTATTGTACGAGGTGAATGAAACTCTGTCGTTCCACTGCGGACGTAGTAGCCGTTCAGCAGTAATCTCAAAAACTACCTGCTCAGCTAAGGGCACTTGGATACCACCACCCACATGTGTAAGTACCACCACCTGCCCAGGCTTTGTCTGTATCTTGCCCCATTTACAGTCTGGAATAGCACTGGTCCAACTTCAGGAATGGGGTTGCTTCGTTACAGGAGGGCTGGCCTGACTGAGGGGCTGCGGTAGGAGGGGGATGCTCAGCACGTAGGTCCCTGCAGCAGTCTCATGCCCTCTGTCTTTGTTTTGGTTCTTTTAAAGAAAAAGCGTGATAAGTGTGAGAAGATTCTTCAAAGTAGTGAAGATTTCCAGTGTGGAGTTCCTCTGACAGAACTGAAAACTCTGCTGGAAGTCCAGAAACTGTACCTGGAGATCCAGAAACTTGAAAGGGAGCTAAGAAGCACAGCAAACGGCTAATTGTCATCACTGGTATCATAAAACCTGTCCTCTTTGTGTGTCGAATAATCATGCTGACTGAGGATTTTTTATGACTTCGTAATTCGTGCTAATGCTTAAGTAGCCAGAAAAAAATTTACCAATCAGCTAAGAAACAGATTTGGTCATCTAGGGAGTTAGAAAGTGACTTCTGACTCCTTCTGCCAGACCTCACTGGGTTAGGTTTGTACATCCCTTTATACATTTCAAAGCTTTGCATTTAGATATGTTTGTTATACTGACAAGTGCACAGTTTAGAAAGGAACTGAGTGGAAAGTAAACCTTTGTCGGAGCCGAGCGGAGGCCGTACAGACAGGCATGAGCATGGTAAGAGCCACTGACCCGCACTCGCCCCACAGCTGCTGCACCTCTTAGGCTGCAATCCAGTATAGCCCATTGCTACTCTGTTCATATATGTTGCATTCGTTATTGTGAACAAGCACTTAACTGCCTAATTAGCTGTGACCTTCAGTGCAGGCACAATGAAGAAAACTTCAAAGCCTGTCTTCCAGCAAAACAAAAATGCCAGGTTTTCTTCCCAAGCAGGACAGATGTATCTGAGGCCACGGCGGTGCCGCTCGCTGCATTTTTGTGTGTGCACCAAGAGCAGTTGTTGGAAATGAAAGTGTAAAGAAAAAAAAGGCTGATTTTTTTCTGCAACATCCAGTAAAAGGGAAGCGCTCTGTTAGCACGCATCTTGTGATCGGGCCAGTAATCCTCCTCCATGAGATTATAATAAAGCTGCAATTGTAATGACAGCTGTGTCTGGCTTTTAATAATTCTGTCCTATCTATAGTGAAGGAAAGAGGTGCTTCAGTAATCATTGCTTGATTAGGCACAGAGGGCTGCTATTCCCTGAGCGCAGTGCAGGCGTATGTGGGGGCTGTTTGCACAGCAGCCTGTGCCCCCTCCGCCTGCCACTGGGGTAAAGAGGCAAAGTGGATGCACGGCATTGCCCAGCACACCGATCAGCGGCTCCCTGTGCTTCAGAAACGAGACCAGGATGCTGCAGAGCACTTCTAGCTGTAAAAGAGCTTTACTCCCGCTGTCCCCACCAGGGAAGAAGGCAGAGCAGGGTTCTCTCCCATGGCACATCCTTGCTGGAGAGCTCAGGGAGGGCAAGCCCTCTCCTTGGGCAGGTCAGAAGGGCTGGGGGGTGGCAGCGTCGGCGTGGCTCGTCTGGCCTGTCCCCAACTTCCCACAGCTGCTTCCCCTTCCCCAGAGGGCTCTCGGTGGGGACAGGCTCTCGCCTTCTTGCGGCGCTGGCCCGGCAGCTCCCGGCACCATGCCGGTGTTTCTCCGCTGGCCGGGGCAGCTCCTGGCAGCGATGGTGGTTGTGCTGCAGCCGGCTGGGAGTCTCGGTGAGTGTCGCTCCCCTGCTTGTTTTCTTTGCTTCTGTGGCTCCGCTTTGCTTACGGATCAAATATGTGATGATCGTGTTAGTAAAATTCAGTGGGAGACCTTCCCCTGGCTGAAGTTGCTGCTAATCTCTTGCTGTGCCTGATGTTCTTGTAAGGATGACTTGAGCTCAGTGGCTCCTGCGAATTGCCTGTTTCTCCTCTTTAAGCTGCACCTCTCGATACTTGCAAAGAGCCACCCCAAAATTCCCAATGCTTCTCAAAAGGCTTACGTTGGGGTACGGATCCCCCTGGGACCGTTGTGAACTACAGCTGGCTCAGAGGGTACGACCGTGTCGCTGGGACAGCCTGGCGCCAGGTCTCTTGTCTGCAGGACTTCTCCTGGTCTGGAGTTCAGAACTTTGCCTCGATCATCCGTGCGGTAGCTGAGAAGTTGTTCCCAGGGTCGGAGGATGCCCTTATGGTCTGGGGCTCAAGAAGAGGATGGTGGTAAGGTGGGGAGAGTCAATTAGACAGGTAATAGTTTTTACCATTTAGTTAAAGGGGTCACAGTTAGCAATTTGAGTGGTATCAGGTTGATACCAAGGTTGATGCTTAAGCCCTGAGGCAGCCTATAGATGTGCTGAAGGTAGCTGGTGAATTGCCACACATCGCACAGGCTGGCTTCAGTACAGGAGAAGTGGGGGTCTGCTGACTAATGAATGTCTCTAGGAAGGTGAATAACTTGCAGTTTCTGTCTGGAAGCTGACAGTTCCTTTAAAAACAGGTCTTGTGAGAAACTTCCCCAGTGTGCACAGCCCCAGCACCTCCCTGCAGAGGCATCTGCTGTCCCCCAGCTGCCGGCACCGCCTTTACACCCTTTTTCTTTTTCTGTAATTCATGGTGGCTCTCAGGAGTCCGCTGTCCCAATCCAAACATAATACCTGATACCCATGCCCCAGTATATAATACTCATGTCCCAATACCTATGCTGGGGCCTGGGGAAGACATGTACTGGTACAGAGACACTCTTTCCATGGGTATTGGTATCGAAGGCAGCATCGCCAGTGCTGCTCTGGCAAGGTGCAGGTGTGATGGTGCCTGGGGTGCTGCTGTCCCAGTGTGTGAACCGGGAATGTTTTTAACATAGGCGCACTGTGTCTTGGTGACCTGCCAGCACCTATTGTAAGGCATGAGGAAATCCCAGTTAGAGCTGCCTTTAGTTTAGTTTTCTCTGTTATCACAGTTTGTGACCAGCCCCCAAAAATTTCTCATGAGAGATAACAGTAGCTGGCCAAAGAAGTTTTTTGTTGGGACATCAGTGGTGTATGTATGTGCTAGAGGTTAGGCAGTCGTTGCAGAACCTCTTGCCTATGGTAAAGCTGGAGGTGGGCTGCCAGCACCCTGGAGTTACCCCACCCCGAGCGCGCAGGTGAGTCGTCCTGCAATCTGCTAGAGCAAGTGCTATTAGGAAAGGGCAGAAATAGCGTTTGATTGTGTGCAATGGAAACACTACACGTTTGGAGTCCTACTGACGGTGGCTGTTCGAGCATGCTTATTAACCCCTAATCTCTCTGCCTCAGTTGCTGCAGTGGTTAAACTGATATGTCTTCTCATACTTACCAGAAGGAGGTGCAGTGGCAGTTGGTCACTGTAGCTGTATTCAGCAAGAATAATCCTGAAAAGCCCTGTTTTTTGGTGATCCACAGAGGTTCAGTGTCCCGCCCCAGATATCACACACGGACAGCTGAAACCTGCACAGAACTTCACCTACGGCAGCACAGCCACGCTCGAGTGCGATGCCGGCTACATCCCCGTGGGTGCCACCACCATCGTGCGGTGCCTGAGCAACGGCAGATGGCATCCACGGATGCCCGCCTGCATCCTGGGTACGCACAGATATCTCTTCTCATTACCTTGTCTCCCACATGTAATTGCCTGCTTGTATTTCACGTGCACGTGCAGTGTTGGCAGCAGAGGGGTTGGAGGGTGGGCACCACAGCGAGCTGCGCTGTCTGACGTTCGGTGGCAGGATTCCCCTCTGCTCTTTCATCACCCCTGGTAAGGCGGCAGGGCTGTCCTGGTTAGGCTGTCCTGCGTTACTGCAGGGTGCATCCAGTGAGATACAAATGTGTACAAGAGTAAAGACTCTTGTGAGATTCGCGTCGTTTGGTGAATTTGTCACCGTTCTTTTTTTCCATTTCAGTTCACCCCCCCATACCCCACAGCGACGTTCAGAGTCGCTGCTGTCCCTTGCTTCTTTCTGGGGTTTCTACCCTTGCCCAAGGGGCAGGCTGGGCTCCCCCAAAGGCAGGGCTCAGCGGCATCCCCAGCAGGTCTGGGAGGGAGACCCCCCCCAGCTCTAAGGGTCCATGCTGTCCCCTGCTCTGGCACCAGGTCACTGTCCCTACCCTCCTGCCATCGACCACACGGACCGAAACCCTCAGCGCGAGTTTCCAGTCGGGACAACCGTGACCTACTTCTGCAGATCTGGATACACTTTGCTCCCCGATGTATCTCCAGTAACTACTTGTCTTAAAAATTTCACATGGTCCGAAATCCCAAAGCTTTGCCAGAGTAAGTACGCCATTTCCTTCGCTTTGCCAACAAAGCATCGATTTAATGATGTAGAAATAACATCGTTTCCAAAATACATGCTAGTGCTGCTGTGCCGTAAGGACTTTATTGAGCAGTGCTTTGGCTCTCACGAATAATAATTTTGCTGTTCAAAGGGTAGCATGGCTGAAAAGAAATAGCTGCAACTCGTGCTGATTATTTAGCTGTTCAAACAATGATGCAGTGATGCAGCTAGTAATGTATCATCCCTTTAGCACAATTTATAGCTAATCACAGGGCTCAGATCATTCGCCCTTCCAACAGAAATGGTTGTTATCGTATAATTACTGTCCCTGAACATGCCAGGTTTGGTTAGAGGTGTCTGTCAGCATTAATGGGCCACCTGGTAAGTTCTCTGGGTCAGCAAGCCACCACCATGGGAAAACACGGCTGTGCAAACGTCTCCTGCTCTCCCCTCCTGACCCAAACCATGGAAGCCCTTTCTGACGCTGGTGTTCCTCAGAGGTGCAGTGTCCCAACCCGACTATCCACCACGGGAGAGAGATCAGCCCCAGGAAAGCCGAATACACCTTTGGGAACCAGGTGGAATTGCAGTGTGACCCTGGCTATGTGCTGAGGGGCAGCCAGAGGATCCAGTGCTGGTCTGACGGGACGTGGAGACCCCCCGTGCCGTACTGTGACAAGGGTGAGTGTGAACAGCGCGAGCAAGGCGGCTGCCACAAATTGCATCTCTGCAGCGGGTAGGAACAGCAGTGAGAAAATGGAGTAACCTGAGCATCACTTCTCGGAGATGGTGGTGTTAGGAGAAGGGGTCCAAGTCACAGCATTAAATGGCTTTAACGTTTTCATCTTCTGTTGAACTCTAATTGATTAAATGCGTTGAGGGACGGGACTTGGAGCCTTTTCTCAGAGGACTGTTCAAGGGGTTTATGATATTCACAGTTCCCTGACCCCATTTATGAGCAGGATCATTTCTCGTGGAAAAGAGGAAGGGATAAGGGAAGGTCGGCTGAAGGGGAGGGGATGGAGGCACATGCCGAGGTACTGGGGCCGTGCAATGCTGGCGGGATGGGGTGGTTAGCTGGGTCAGTCTGGGAACACTGGTAGAGGCAGGGCCAAAACTGGCAAGAAGCAAGGAGGACTTTGAGGAGAGCAACCCTAAGTATAAACATGGAGAACTGGCTTCTGTTACTTCCCTGCACTTCTGTCTCTCTGACTGAATGAAGAAAATCTTAATTTTTCCTTTCTCTATTCTCTCACAGTTTGTGGTCCGCCTCCAAAAATCACCAATGGGCAGCACTCTGGCTTGAAAACGGAGCAGTTCCCCTACGGCTTCGGAGTAAAGTACAGCTGTGTGGATGGTCTGTCCCTCATTGGGGACGACTCCATCTACTGCACCTCCGACGACGGGGTGAACCTGGAGTGGAGTGGACCTGCCCCGGAGTGCAGGAGTGAGTTGTTTCTCTTGTATGGGATCAGACTGAAGCCAGGACCTGGGTGCAATATTAGGGCTCAGCACAATGGGATTAAAAGCGAGCAGGGCTGCTGGGAGATCCTGCTTCCTTTGCAGGCTGCTTCGCAGGCTCAACAGCTCCGGACTGAGGAAGCTATTTCCATGTGGAAATAGGAGATTCTGGTTCTCCTACACTGATGGCCATCAGGCAGCCAGGAAGAGCGGCTCTGCCCCGCCGGACCCGGCTCCCCCTTGTCCCTGGGCAAGGGCAGCAGCCAAACCCACCTCTCCCATCTCTGTTCTCTCCCCGCAGTGGTTCGGTGCCCCAAGCCCACAGTCGAGAGGGGAAGGATGACTCCGCAGATGTTCACGTTTCCCTACGGGGCGGCCGTGCGGTTCTCCTGTGACGAAGGCTTCATGCTGCACGGCGATGCTGAGAGCCGGTGCCTGGCCGACGGTACCTGGCACCCTCCCCTGCCCACCTGCCAGCCAGGTGGGTACCAGACCCGGGAGCCGATCCAGCGTCCCCTGGGACGGTGCAGAGAGGTTGGGGTGCAGCATTGTTTCGCTGTGTCTGTCCTCGGGGGGTCCCCTAGCACCCTCCTCTCTTTGCGGAAGAAACAAGCTTCCCGAAGCTGATGCTTACCAGGCAATAGCTGAATTTTTCTCGAGTGTCCTGTGTAAAGGAGGCTCTAAGGCAGGTCGGGAGACACCATTGTTACTGACTTTCTCTTCAGAGAGCATTCTTACTGACAAACGTCGATCTGCAGACTCTTGCATGGGGATGCCTGAATTGAGACAATGTCAGAAAACAGCAAATGCATAACACCTCTCAGGGGCTGTTCTGACCTTCACCCTCCCCTCTTGAAGGGCCTCAGGAAGTAACTTTGCTTTAATATTTGGTTTCACAGCCTCACAGATTTAAGTTCACCTGCACTGGCTCTGCCTTTACAAACTTCATAGGTATTTTCCTACCTACATGATGACGACCCTCTTGCTGAGCTGCCTTCTGCTGTGGGTTTTCCTTTCAGTTCTGTGTCCACAACCACAAGTGGCCAATGGAATGCTGAAAAGCACCTTGGATGGTAAAATGTGGTACCAAACAAACGCGACTGTTACTTTTGAATGCCTTCACGGATACCACTTTTCAGATGATGGAGACGTGTCTTCAGAAGAGTCTTGGACAGCCACATGCTTGCCTGATGGCAACTGGACACCATTGCCCAAGTGTGTAAGTACCTTAGTCTGGCTGAGTTCCTGGACGAATGCTGCCTGACTTCTAATATGAAAAATAACTGCCTGAACTTCTTAAAAGCTTTTGCTTTATGGTATGAATGAGGGGGGTTGAACTGTGTTGGGGCAGTGCCTGGCAAACGGGACAGCTCAGACTCAGAGCTGAGGAGTGGGTGGCTCTCCATCTGCTGCAGTGCAATCTTACATGCTTTTTTCTGGGTTTTGTTTGTTCTGTTTTACTTTTTAACAGAAGAAAGAAGGTGATGTTGATGTATGCGAAGAAGTTCATTATGTTAAAACGGTCTTTCAATGCGGTGTGCCTATAGCAGAAGTGAAAACTCTGCTGGAAATACAAAAACTGTTTCTGGAGATTAAAAAACTAAAGGTGGAACTAGAAAACCTGAATGACTGAGTCCTGTAATGATCACCATTGGTGAACACACAGTTTGTGTAGTCACAGTATCTATAAGAAGGCTCTTGGTGACTTTATGGTTCATGTTTGCATGCCTGTAACCAGCGAAATAATAACCAATGTATTGGAGATTGCTTTTGTCATGCTAGATGCTAGAGCATAGAGGGATTTTTGCTCCTTTCCTTAAATCTGACAAGCTTCATTCGCTATTTAACAAATGTTTTGTTTCAGATTTTATATTAGGAGACATAGTAAGAAATTAAATTGAGCTTCTTCAAGTCACTGCATAAGCTGTGCTAAGCTGAGAGAAGGGGGACTGAAGTCCACAGAAGTAAACTTCTAGCTGAGATGAGTGTCTGGGTCTCTGAAGGTGCTTCTGCTGTAATTTTCCAGCTGGTGGTTTGTGCAATGCCGTACCCTCTGCCCCTACCAAACTCAGCCTCTCATAGCATTAGCATACTTCTATGTAGAAATAGTAGTGAAGTGAGCATTTAACTACGCAATTTCCTGTTAATCTAGCTCATGATTTCTATTCATCTAGTTAAGGGCAGTTGCATATAAGAAGTCTATTTATAAAGGCTTCTATTCAGTTATCCCTGGATTTAAAAGAGGCAACAGGTTTCTGGCTGAGCACTGTACTCAACAGATATTTGTGGTGGTGTCATCTTCCACGTCCCTATTTCTGGCAAGCAAATGCTAAGAATAGATGCTGTAAGTTTAAGTGTAAAGAATCAGACAGCGTTGAATGTTTTTATTACTCAATAAACAATGATCAGTTTATGTTGCTCTGTGATGCAGCAATTACTCCTTCCCTGCAGGATTACAATAAAGATGGAGGTGTAACCCTGGGTGTCTTGTACTCTGTCACATTGGCTGTAAATTAGGCAGATTTCCAGTGTGGTCCAATGGTTTTTCTGATTGAGAGCTGAGCCCTGGCAGCCTGGCTCGGTCCTCAGGATGCTCAGGGAGCTGCAGTGGGCATGACATGGCATGGCAGCCACGGGCTGAGGTTATATCATTGTGACATGCATGCTTTATGAGTTATTGGAGTTGCTTTAAATGTTACTAGAGCCTAAGGCACAACGCCCGGGGAAGAGATGGTGTCTCCCATTTTTACACAGAAAAATATTTTGATAATGCATCCTGTGCTTCACCACATCCCGGTGAGGACATCTGCAATGAGAGGCACTCTCAGATCCACTCCAGTTCTCCCTGTGCTACAAGGAGAGCGGGGCTGCACCCTCCTGGTGTGACACCTCTCTCCCCTCCGCGCTGAGCTCACCTGGGACTGCAAACAGAAAGTGTCGTATCTCCCTGTGCAAGGCTTGAAACCCATAAGCATGAATAAGAACTGGGTGTTACAGCCCCTGTGTACCTAAGAGTGTGTTTGAGTAGCCTTGACTGATGTCACGCAGGATATTTCAGAGTGTTAGTCAGTAAGCAGATGTATTTGTTCACACCCGTCCCTAATTACAAATGAGTCAATCAAGAAAAATTAACAAACAAAATGGAAAATGCTTTTGTTTTTTGTTTCACTAACTCTGCTTATGGAAGATCTGTGTTGCATTACCCTCAGGCAAATAACTAAGTAGGCATTTTCCTACCCTGGATACAGCTTGGGGCTGGGGTGGGGGTGGCGGTCTTTTCTGCTCTGGTAGCATTTGGTTTTGGTAAAGTTCTGCTAGTCAGCACTCACTGCCAGTCTCAGGTCAAATAAAAGGGTTGAGTTATTCCCCCATTCCTTACGGTGGGGCAGGAGGACCGGGAGGCTTTACCCGAGCCTGTGGATGACAGTCGTCCCCCACCCATGGCTGCTGTCCGTGTCCCTGCCAGAGGCTTTACCGCCGTGGGTGTTCTGGAAAGGTTTCCACTGCTCCAGAAGCTTGGCTGAGTCTTCTGTGCTGCATCTCCTCCCAGCTTCAGAAACAGCTCCTTGGAGCCAACGGTGCTCAACAGAGCAGCACAGAAATTGCTGCAATGAGGTCTGGAGAACCAGGACGGGGGAAGCACCCAAGCACCCTGAGCTGGGGGGCACTCGCCGGGGCATGGGGGTCTGGCCACCTTGCACTGCTCCTGGCCTTGCTGGGGCTCCTAGGCATGCCCGTGGCTTGCGGTGAGTACCGGGGCACAGGGTGCATGGGGAGGACCAGCGGGACCTGCCTGCATCTCACCTCGCTGCTTGGGGGCTGGGGTGGGTGATGCCACCACCCCCAAGCCTGGGGACCCATCGCTTGGTGTTCTAAGGGATGCAGCCCTGCCCGGTGCCTTTGCCCGGAGGGGAAGCCTGGACCAGCCCAGCTGCCCGCCCGGGATGCTCGCTGGGGATGGGGAAGGGGTCAGGGAACAGGGTCCTCACCGGAGGGGGTCTTCTCCTGCCACAGATGACTGTGGGCCCCCACCTCGCATGACCCACTCCAGACCATCCAGCGACGAGCAGGCCAGCAGCTTCCCCATCGGATCCAGGGTGACGTATACGTGCACCGAAGGCGCCATCAAAATCCCCGGGAGGTCGGACACGATGGAGTGCCTGCCTGGCGCGCGCTGGTCAAAGCTGCCCGAGCCCTGTGGCCGTAAATACCTCCTTTCTCTGAAACACGGCTCCCTCGCCTGTCTCTCATTTGGCTTAAGATTTCTGCCCCTTACGGTGGCTGCTCTGCATTGGCACCGTCCTCCTGGCGAGGTACAAACCCACTTCCCTTAGCCGCTGTTTGTCAGAGCTGCTGGTGGGTGCAGGATCCGTGCCTGTCGTCGAGGGGGTCGGTCCTGGACCCCGGGATGCTCGCACACCTCCCGAGCCCCGGCCGGCAGAGGCTGTGCAAGCGGCTGCAGCGTGTGCTGCCCCACGGCACGTGCATGCGACTTCTTATTTTCTACTAACAGCTTTGCCTGTGCAGTTAATGCATCTTCATCCGCGCTTTGCAAAAGATGCGTTCAGCAGAATAGCAGCCTGGTAAGAAAAGAGAAGTAACCTGCCATGAATGTGAGGAGCTTTCCAAAAGCACCGTAGTGAGAGCATTTCTGTGATTCCAAGGTTTATTTTGCATGCTTCCCGGTGGGCGGCTCTTTCAGGCCCGCTTTCTTTGACTGCCAGGGAGCTGTGCTGCCCCGACAAGGTTGCGGTTTGCTGCCCTGTCCACGGTGGACGAGAGGATTAATTTCTTTCCTGTTGGGACCAACGTGAGCTACGTCTGCCGCCCCGGCTACGAGAACACCTCGGAAAGTTCCCCCACCAGCACTTGCCTTGAAAACCTGACGTGGTCGGAAGCTGCCGAGCTGTGCAGGAGTGAGTATCCCTGCTCCGCTCCACTTGCTGAGAAGCAGGTGTGGAGTTCAGAGCAGGTCAGGTACCCGCTCCCAAACTGCGTGCTGCGATGCAGCAGGCTTGTTAACATCCCAACAGCTACATGCTTAATACAAAATTAGGTGGATATTCCTTGACATTCATATTTAAGACTGAACAGCAGGAGTGTCAATAATGTTCTTTTTTTTTTTTTCCTGCTGGCATAAACAGATCTGGTTTGATTTTCATGTTAGGAAATATGTTTGCATCTGGCAGGGCATATGCACAGGACAAATGCCAATTTGCAATTCTAGTGTTTAACTTCAAAATGAAGACAAAGCACGTTTCTCAGTGAAATCCACGTAATATTAAGACTGATGATGCGGCAGCAATACATTTGTCACAGTCGAGGTACTTACTGCCAAACTATCGAGATGGAAATATCTCTGCAAATATTCTCTTCTGCCCTCCTGTGAGATGCTCACTGCTGTGAGCGTGGAGCCCTTATGGCGATCCACACCTCCCACGTGGGAAGTCAAATGCTTTGGCACCTTTGGGTATAACCCCCTAAGTCTGTCCCTTATTTAGCCTTTTTTATTTCTCCATCACCGTGTATTACCACTAACACTGGCCTCGTTCTCCGGCAGGGAGATCCTGCGGACACCCGAGACCGCTGCCCGGCGGCAGGATGGTCACTCTGACAGACTTGCGGTTCGGTGCAAGAGTGAACGTGTTCTGCGAAGACGGGTGAGTCACGGGCAATGCCCCGAGCTCCAGTACACCGGTGCTGATGCTGGAATACAAACTCCAGTCCAGTGCGATGAACTTGTGGACACGGGCTGGGCTGCTATTTCACAACATATCGCTCCTATGGTGTTGCTCTGAGTGCAGAGCATGGGTCTGCTTTTCCCACTTCAATGACAGCTTTGGGCTGGGAGGGAATAAGACACAGCTGGAGGGAAGGGACCAGGATCTGAATTTATGGCTGCCTTTTCCTTCAAGTGTCATCCAGAGGAAATTTAACTGCCCCAGGGTATCTATCCCAGCAGTACTGCCAGTTTATAACTATCGACTTCAAAACAAGTTACTTAAAATATTTCAGCCTAACATATTTGAGATATATTGAATAAAAAGGGGTTATGTTGGCATTTTTAAAATTCAGTGATGTTCAGCTAGAAAACTGCAGTGAAGCACACTTTCCATCAGTCAGTGAGCTGACTCATGCTTTCTGCCTGCTTTCAATCAGGGTCCACATGCAGCAGACTGACCTGCAAAATCAAGCTCTTGCAACTCCGGCTAGTATTCCTCCCTCCCTAGCAGGAACTAGCTGGCATTATCTGGCTTGTTCTGCCAATCTTTGCAGCTGCTTCAAATATAACAGGGGTTTTTTCTCCAGATACTCCCTTAGGATGGACTTCGGGGAAATGACAGCATGTCCCACCCTTCTAGGATTCAGCTTTGGAAATACACATCAGGGTGGAGGGATAATGTTATCCATCTAAGCACGATCAGATACTATCAATCATGCCCAAATGATGAATTTTTTTGAACAGGAGGATGTAATTCAGAGATTGGGGAAGGTGTCGGTGCTGTCAGAACAGGATGCATTAGCTTCCAGCAAGCCAATCCAAAAGCCATGTTAATGAAATCAGGATCCCTATTGCCCCTCACTGGTCCCTGCTCTATGTAGTGGAGGCATTGAGTATTTGCAGGGACCGGCTGGGAAGGTACGCCGGCAGTCTGCTGTCGTTTGCTTTTCTGGAAAAACTTTAGCAAAACAGCTACACCCTTACAACCCAAAAGCAACGTGCTAGGGAGGAGGTGGCACTGAAGGGTGCTGGGCACCCCGCTCTCTACCACCAGCGCTGCGGGTTTCAGCAGATCCAGCTAACTGACCTCCGTAATGCAGCCCTGCCACGAAGCGGAGCCGCAGTCCGGGCTGAGCCTCGGCCTTTAGAGATGCTGTGTGTGCTCAGGAGGGAGCTCTGCGCCTCGTCACCTCATCCTGGTGGGTGACGGTGGCGTGGGAAAGGCACTGGATGCCAGCAGCCTGAATCCCAGCACTGCTCTCCGCCAGGAAGCAGGCAGGAAGAAATAGTCCCTGATTCAGCAAATTCAAGCCTGTTGCATCCATGTGGGAATCCACACCTAACCTCAGCACTGTCTGCCATTCACCGTGTGCTCTGCTACCCACCAGCTGCGGCTTCTCCCATGCTTGCAATGGAAGATACACACTGCAATGAGTCAAAGGGGAGAATCACCTAAAAACAGATTAACAAGGATCCTGGCAGAGAGCAAGGTGAAGAAGCTTTCCTGCTAACCAGTGTGTATCTGCGTGTCTGCTTGCTTTAAAACTGCTTTTCTACACTCCTGATCATACTGGTACCAGGGGAAAAAATTGTTCTTGGTTTCTGGATAGCTACACAATCTTTTCTTTTCTTGTGTATTTTCACTTAGGTACAAATTAGACGGGAGGCATTTCATCCAGTGTCAGCTCAAAGGAAATGACGTTGAATGGAGTAAACTTCCAACTTGTAAATGTAAGATTAATCCAACCTTGCTTTTGACTTCACTCCAGTAGATCCTGCATACTAGACTAGTCTAAACTTATCTTCATACATTGTTTTTGTTAGTATTATGTGGCAGATCTGTCACCAATGCTGCAGCTGAGAAATATCCATTTTGCTGCTGACACTGTATTTCAGCAGTTTTGTTCCCACAAGATCAACATATTCGCTCATGCCTTAAGGTTGCAGTGAAGGTGACAGGATGAGATTTTGAGGAATCATGAGCCAGGGCATGGCAAGTTGCCTGTTTATTTTTGTGACTCTTGGAGTGAGAGGGGGAAAGATGTGACAACAGAAACACTTCAGAAACAAGAAAGAGATTATCAAGACAGAAGGCAGTGCTAGTTACCTATCTTCAGTTGTCCACAAAGTTTATTGTCTTCAAGAATCTTAGGTGGAACTCAAGAAACATTTTGCATTTTCAGTGTTACTGAAGCTTTTATCAATACTCGTGTTGACCTTTTTTCCTGCAGTAATCACCTGCTCTTCACCTCCTCAAATTAGCAACGGAAAGCATGATGGCGAAGGTGTAGAAAAATTTGCTTATAACTCAACCGTGACTTACAGCTGTGACTCTGGCTTCCAGCTCATTGGAAATGTGAGCATCCGTTGTACGAGTATGGACAAAACAAACGGAGTCTGGAGTGGAGCTGCACCTGAATGCAAAGGTGGCTTCATCTGAGTTTAGTATTTATTATGAGCTCAGTATTTAGTATGCACCAGCTTAAAATATTGTGAAAGCTTAGTACAGGACATGTCAGGTGTAAGTCATACTGCAATTTTAAAGAGAAAAAATGCAGTGCTGCTAAAGTGAATAAGGAATGTACAGTCTGGGAAAGAAAGGCGTAGTGCTCCTAGCAATACTTACTCTTTATACCCTAGAGAAAAGCACGTCTGTCAAACTTGGAGCAAAAGAAATGGAAAGGAGTCCTCCTCCCCAAAGTGAGTTGAAAAGATTGTACATTAAGTCCCACATTTCCCAGCTTAATTTGCTTCTTTGATTATCACACTTCTATGAAAAAGCCACTCAATGAATTTCACACCACGATTTTCTTTCTTTTCAGATTCCCGTGGAAATGGCATCCAACCATCTAAGAAGTCTTTCAAGTGGGAAATGAAGCTCAGCCTATACAAAAAGTCACTGCAAAATACCATCTCCTTCTCCCACTCTTCTTCTTTCTCCAGGACACCAGGTCAGTCCTGGAGGCTCATTTGGAGTTCGGGGGAACTCATCGGTGGGACTCACTGGTTACTGCCAGTCCTGTAGCTGGAGTTTTCATTTTTTCCCACATTTCTTTTCAGTGTCAAGGAGCTGTGCTACCTCGGCATTCAGATTCGTTGTACCTTTGTACAAAACCCAAAACTACTTTTCTCCTGGGACAAACCAAGGAGCCAAGTGTCTTCCAAAGTACATGGGCATCTCTGGCATCCTCCCACAAGCCGGCTGCTTTGAAAACTTAAAACGGTCTAAAGTTGCATCATTTTGTGGAAGTGAGTGATTTTTTTGTCATGTTCTTTTCTTATATAAGTTTTCTCTGTATAATTTATATTTTTTGCTGGTTGGACATCTGCTTCCAAGCTCAGGTTTGACTGCATTGGCCTCCCCCTCTTAAAAAAGCTTTGCTTTGTATGAAATGTATTTTCATGTATCAATTGTTTCCTTGCCCTTGCGTTATTACAGATTTTAACTCATTTTTTGCCATATTGCAAAGCAAGAGATAAGTTTGTACCGCGTAGCCTTAAGAGTGCCAGGGCTTCTGTCCTTGTTCCAGCAGTGAGAGGCAATGCACTAACGCTAACCTTGTTCCACACCAGCGAGGTCGTGGGCAGCCAGGAGAAGCTGGACATGGCAGAAGTGCTGCTACAACAGATTCCCCATCCGTTGCAAAGGGTTATTTTACAAATAAAAAGGGTGAGTGTCGGCTGTGTTGAAAACAGTGTCTGGGTGGGAAATATAAGTGTGTAATGTTAAGTAATAAAGACAAAACACCTGCTGGAGGGTCTCGCTACCCAGCTGGAGACTGGATGAAAAGCATTTCTCTGGTGTTAAAGTCCAGCTGAACTTGCCCATCCCTGAGCCATGTCTCTTGGGTCAAAACCAGAAAATCTGTCACCCCTGTGGTGGTGGATTTTGTGTGTGAACGCGCTGAGCCCGGGGCTGTTACGTGAGTGTGACGAGGCAGGTGCTTAAGCCCAGGTCCAGAAATGCCCCCACTGCAAGTGCAGCGTGGCCAGGAGGGATTTTCCCCATTTCCTGCATCATTTGGCAAAGGTGGGGTTTGTTCCAACCTGCTAGCATCGCCAGGCTGACGGCTGGGACCGAAACCCCAAGGTATTTGTCTGGACTGTTAAACAAGGAATCAAAGAATCCCACTTGCGGGGTTAAAGGCAGGGTAACGGGCTGCATGGTTGGGCACTTGTGGAAGTGTCTGTAGGAAAGACGTCGCAGTGGTATCAGTGTAGGAAAAGGGCTCCGAGAAGGGCTTTGCAGGCCTTAAAAGAGTTGAAGTGTGGTGACGTTGTGCCCTTGCTAGGAACAAATGAAGGCTAGAAGGATCCTGGATCATACAACATGGAAGAAAAGGGGAAAACTTTGTCCTTTGTTTTTGCCTAAAAGTTTCTACTTTGCTCTATTATGTAACTTCAGACTGAGGATCGATTTAAAAATCTCTTCCTGCTGATTTTTCTCTTTTTACTCTTGGCACTTCTTCAGGAGATGGTGTCAAAGCAGCAGCTTGACACATGATCTCAAGTGTGAGGAATGCCACTTTGTGTTGTACTTCAGCAGCTTGGCTCTCCTGCTCCAAAACACTGGTCCTGTAAAATCAGCCCCTCAGTAGCAGAAGGCTAGAGGAAGGGATGAGATGGGGGAAAATGGAACGCTGCCTGGAAACAGCCTCTAGTGTTTGAAGGAGGAATTGTTTGGGGCCTTTCTAAAGTGCAGTGCTAAAATTCACCCCCAAACCTGGTGGGTTTTTAAAAATCTGGGCAGAAAGCTTCACTCTCCTTGAAGATACAGCCAGGCTAATCTTCACGTGAATGTTTCCTTCCCCCAGGCTGCGTATACGGACTGTGGCAAGTGCACAGAAAGATTTATCTGCAGTTTTGAAGCAGTTTATTTGTGATGGGTCTGCCCTCCTCCAGTGATGCTTTGACAAAAGGACCCCCATAGAAGGAACCCTGGGAGGAGGCATTTGCACTTTCCTTGCATGGTTGCAAAGACAACTGGCACATGCTGCTCTTCCTGCCATCTCACTGCAGATGTAGACAAGACACGCAGTTAAATGAGATCCCACCTATCTAAATATATTGTTATCTTTTAAAACAAAAATAGTACTGAAAGCATGAAGCATGTAAACCCTTCACCGTGTTCTGTTTCTAAAGTGTCTTATGCAATGGTCGTACTTGTTAGGACTCTGACGCTTTGCTTTAAAACAGAGAATATGCTAGATCAAGTCTTTCCCATGTACATAATGTATTTTTTGAATTGTGATATGTTTTAATGTTCCAAGAAATTGATTGAAAATTACTTATGCAAGAGTTGGCTAATTCCCACAGTTCCTTCTCCTGAGTTTTTCTCTTTCAGCGGTTTCTTCCTAACATCCCAAATCCAGTTACGATTCCAGGCTGACCTGACCAGCCTTTCTTCAGGCTGGAGTTGGGAAGTTTCTCAGAAACCCCCCAGGCCTTCTGCAGAATTTCTGACAGAGCTCGGTTACGTCACGACTCGTCGGACTCGGTGTTTCCACAACCACCCATTTCCTTGCTCGCTAGCAACTCCGATGTGCTGCCATAACAGTCACTGTAAATACACAGACTCACAGGACAGGCTGTAAAAGACCCAAATCTCTCTGCTGAACTGGGCTACTCCCTTAACTTAGGAATTTCTGGCTGTAGCATGGTCTGGTTGCAGATACACCCATGGTAGCTGCCAGCAGGGTTGAGCTGAAAGCAAAATACTGACTTCCTTGTCTTGCAGATTTATGAGATCATTTCTTTTAGGAAATCATAGTATTTTACAGGCTAAATTGAATTTATATTTTTAGTACTTTAAGCAATTTCTTTAGCAAAAACTTTTTTTTTGTATCAGACATAAATTCTTTGCAGTTTATATTTCTGTTCAGATTACATGAAAAATAAAAGCCGTGAGTGGTCTGGGTATCTACTAACCTCATACTGTAAAGGAGCTACTTTTGCTTTCCAAACAGAGGAAGGCAGCTCTGTAATGCTGCAGTCTGTGAGCACATCAACTCCGCACAGACACACAGAAGTAATAGCTAAACGTAACTCTCCAGCATTGTCATACTGCAACAGAGAAACTGGAAATGTCAGGTTTATGTTATTGGCTGCTTACAGTCTTTGTCCTATACAGCACACTAACTGCCATATATTTAGGTGCCATTCTGGGGTTTTATTTACATTTAGTAATAAATGGTAATTGTTTATAAAGGATAACCTGTGAATTCAACTGATTGCTGTTCCCTTTTCATATTTTATGCTCTTTTCAGGAAGGTATCAGCTTTTAGAGATATCTTGATAATGGTCAGATTTGCTGTTCAATCAGTTCTTTATCAGCACTCTTCCTTATATATTTTCTAAATGGCCTCCTACACAAGTTTAACTTGATTTAAAAAAAAGCGGGGGAGAGAAAGAAAGAAAGAAAATCCATGCAGTAATGTTTGGGAATGTGAGTGTTTCTAGCAAGTGGTCTGAAAAAGAAAGCTGGAGCGATGCATACCTGCCTTAATCCCATTTAGCCTTCCTGGACACGAGCTCTGCAGCCCCTCTGCTGCGGCTCCCCCGGGCAGCCTGCGGGGTCTGTCCCAAAAAGGCTTTGGGAGCTGTGGGCGACGTCCCAGGCTGCTGCTCGGCACGGGGATGCAGGAGTGCGTGGGAGTGGACAGGGAACCAAGGGAGGGTTTCTGCGGAAAGCCAAGAGCAACTCCAGCAGCTCAACCCCTGTTTTTCCTGGCTGGTTTTGCTGGAAAACCTCACGATGTTCCAGTCCGAGCCTGGCAGCGTAGGTGCAGAGAGCAGCACGGGTCAGGGTCCCCTCTGTGCGTGTTTTCGCTTCTGCCATCGCCATCTGCTTGGCCTGATTTCTGCAGCATGGGGAAGGGATGTCAGAGCAAGATAAAGCAAGTTGCCCTCGGTGGCTCCAGCTGCACAGATGTGGACCTGCTATCTCAGGGCTCAGCTGCTGGGGCAGCTCCTGCCTGGGAGGTTTCGGTGCTCAGTCGGTTACTGGGGCAATACAGGGCAAAATGGGACAGCAAGGGTGGGTGGCAGAGAGGCAGAGGGATGGGCTGGTCTGAGCCTGACGGTCTCGGCAGGTACAGATGTCTCCTGCGTGGCCTCAGGTAGGAAAGCAGCCTGGGTCAAGGGGTTAATCTGAGCTCGTAGCAGGGGGATTTCACCGAGTTGAAACTACAGCGGCCGGTTCTTCTGATGTAAGTGCGAACCAAGCCGCTCCCTGAGGAGGCTCGATGTTACAAGAATTCTTTGCCAAATACTTCTTGACATCTCACTATCCCGTGCCAGGGTCGCTGCTGTAAGCTATTACGAGAGAATTTCCCAGCATTTAAAATATATTTTTTCCTGGTAACAACTCCCTTTTGCATTATGCAGCCACCATCCCAATTCAGACCTCAGGTGACCAGTGACTTGTATGTCATTTGTCTGCATGTTCACAAGTATTTTAAAGGAATACATTATCCAGGCTGCTTGACTCTTCCCTTAAGAAAATGCTTCTTGGCCTCATTGCAAATGCTTTTGTTGCATATGCTTGGAGCTTAAATTGTACTGGAAAGGGAAATGAAGTGGGAAAAAAAACCAACCCCAAAACAATAACTTTGAGCTTCTCAGTGGAAACATCACTGTTTCCTGGATAACAAAGGCAAACAGAGGGAGGCAGGAAGGCACAGGCAGGCAAGCTGCTGCTGGCTGCCCTTTCCTCGGGTTAGGGTGACACATCCCCCTTGTTGGCAGCCCAGCTCAGCAGAGCGGGATGACACAGCAGATATAGCCGCAGCCTTTCCTTTGGCTCTCCCTGTAAGTCCTGGGGGCAGGGGTCCAAGAGCGGCTCTGCTTTCCCACGCAGTCACGGAGCCAAAGCCACAGATCCTATGCCTGGCTGGGCCCAAGGACATCCCCGAGCCTCTGCGGGCAGTGCAGCGTCTCCTTCGAAGAGTTTTGTGTCTAACTGGGAGAGTTACAGTGGAAATGCTGGTATCCCCACGGCCTTCTTTTGTGCATAGGTGTTAATAGAAACAGCTTAATTAGCAGCTTCAAAGTGGGGCTGATTAACAGCCCTCTGCTCTCCCATGCACCCCTCAGGCTGGAGGAAAGCCACCTTCTCTCCTCTCTTTTTGCAGAAAAAGCTCTTCACGGAGGTCTGCTCCTAGGGTCAGGCAGGTGACATCTGAAGACAGTTTGGGGGATCGGGGGGGGGGGGCTGGTGCCCCTGAGCTGCACTGCGCTGGGCTCCCTGGGCTGGACTCTGTGGGAGAGGACAGAAGGCACCGATGAAGATGCAGCTCTCGTCCCTGCACGCAGCAGAGCCAGTGCTGGGGGACAAAGGGGACCTTCTCTACTCCTCCCGGCTTTGGGGCATGCTGGAGGGTTCACAGCCGGAGCCGACAAGACCCAGATGCTGCCCTTCTTGGGTTTTTTTGTTTGTTTGGTTGGTTTTGTTTGGGTTTTTATGTTTGTTTTTTTGTTTTTTGTTTTTTTTCTTTTCCTTTGGGACTTGATGGCTTTGGAGGCAGGGGTGGCTTTAGTGGAAGGTGCAGAGAAGGAGTTTGAAAGAGAGCCGGAGGCAGCGGGTGTCTGGAGAGCCGGACCGCATTCCTCTGAATGCCGAGCACGTCTCTTGGAGCAGGCGTGAGGAGAACCGTGTGCTTCAATTTAAACCCACACCCGCTTCCAGCCGCCGGTAAGACTTTCATCACAGCATTTCCCGGGGATGAGACCGCAGGGAGCACGGAACGGGGCTCCACGCCTCGGGAGCTGCGAACCCTGCGGCCAAAGGAGCCGCCGCCGCCTCGCACAGCCCACGGGTGCCAGCAGCACCCACGCGTGCTCTTGAGCAAGCTCTCCCCCTCCCTGCGGCTCCGGGAGCGTCTCCCCTCCCTCTTTCCTCCCCGCCCCGCCGTGGCTCCCTGCCCGATCCTCGCTGCCCGCTCCCGGCAGCGATGGGCTCCGGGCTCCGCCGCTCGCTCCTGCCCACGCTGCTGCTGGTGTTGCTGGTGCTGCTGGTGTTGCTGGTGTTGCTGCCCGAGGCGTGGGGTGAGTCCCCGGGGGAGTGTGTGTGGGGGGTGGGGGGGAGTTCGGTGAGCCCTGTCACCCCCCAGGGTGGGCTCCGTGCGGGTGGGTGCGGGTTCCGTGTGCTCCGCTGTGCTGGGTGCGTGTCGTGGGTGCGTGTGCTCTCGTGGGGACTGAGAGGGTTGTCAGGCATTGGAACAGGCTGCCCAGGGAAGCGGTCGAGTCCCCATCCCTGGAGGAATTCAAAAAGTGCATAGACGAAGTACTCCAGAACATGGGTTAGGGCATGGATGATGGTTGGACTCGATGATTGTGAAGGTCTTTTCCAACCTAAATGATTCTATGATTCTGGGCTGTGCGCTGCCCGGGGAGCTGGCGCAGGCAGCAGAAGCCCCACTAAATCCAGGTTTATCTGGCTACAGGTGACTGTGGGCCGTTGCCAAATATAACACATGCAGAGCCCCCGGAGGATGAGAAACATCGGGGAAGCTTCCAGGTCGGCTCCAAAGTAAGGTACAGCTGCCTCGGAGGTTATGTGAAACGTCCCTTGCTGTCAGATACGATACAGTGCCTTGCAAACTCCCAGTGGTCCAACCTCCCGGAGTTTTGTGGTCGTAAGTATTTCACTTTCTTGAAACGAGTTGCTTAGAGACGCACGCTGCTTATGAAAACATTTACTGCTTTAGCAATCGCTGTTTCAAGGGTTTCCCCATTCAAAGTGACACACAATCGAGTTGCGGGTCAGAATGTCTCGCTGTTCCTTCTTCCTAACTCTGCTTAGTCTGTTGGTGCCACGTGCGAGCACTTGTGTGTTAATAAAAATAGATGGGTAGCCTGGAGAAGCAGAGGAAAGAGGAGCAGAGCTGTAGTGGCGAGCGCTGGCACAGCTGACTGCTGACACAAGAGCTAACTAAGGGGGAATGTTTGGCATTGGGGATTTGCAAACCTCCACGGTGAGAACTGGCTGCACTTCCCCACCTCAAATGCTTCATTGGCGGAATTGGCAAGGGAGGTAAGCACTGCACTTGTGAATGATTGAAAGAGGGCAAATATTAACATTTAAAATCTTTTTCCATTAAATAGTCATCTAGGAATATTTTTGAATTACACAAATTACCAATCACCTTCTTAAAAATATTTGTGGTATCCCTATTCTCAGGGAGGCTTGTGTGTTATCACTTAGATTTATGTTTATACATAGTCGAATGCAAAATATTGTTATTTTTACTTTGTAACTGTACACTTTGGTTGTCTTCCTTGTTGCTAGGTAGCTGTCCTGGCCCACCACGTGTGCGTTTCGCTAGAATATCACAAGAAGATGGGATGCAGAACTTTTATCCTGTTGGTGTCTTGGTGAAGTATTATTGTCGCTCAGGCTATGAGAATACCACAGACCAGCTGCCCACCAGCACTTGCTTTGACAATTTAACATGGTCAGAAGTCCCCGAGCTGTGTCAGAGTGAGTGTCTCCACGTCGTTTCATTTTCTCCAGCGTCCTCCCACAGCTGCATCTGCAGCACTGTGTTCTGAGTGCCATGTCTGATTTGTATTTTAGGATCACTTTTTTTAAAGACATTTAGCATGAAATACCATCAGATGCCTGGTTTGACACTGCTATACTGTCACAAAAAGTATGTCTGTGGGTTTTTCCCCCATCCTTGTAGCATCCCAAGGATAATCTTATTCTTTTTAGGGAAATCTTGTGGTATTCCAGCAAATCCAGAACATGGCAAGGTTATTACAAATGGTCATCTGTTTGGTGCAAGAGCAGATGTAGTTTGTAACCATGGGTGAGTGTGAAGCCAGCTGCCCACTGCATCCCAGTGACCTGGCCAGTCACTGGTGTGCGAGCCGGGACAAGGGGCTCTGCCTGTCGAGTCCTTGGCACTTCTGTGGGGTGACATGTTCTTGGTTGGTGACAACAAACTGATTTGGGGTTGTGCCCTTTACCTCTGCAGGTACACATTAAAGGGAGCGTCACATGTCATCTCGTGTTCCCTAAGGGGAGATGGAGTTGCCTGGAGTCAAATTCCAGCTTGTCAGGGTAAGTGAAGTTGGCCACAGCTCAACTGGAAATACCAAATATTCCAACTCAGAAATACTGAACTGTGTGTTGGTTTTACTAAACCAAGTCAGGTAAGTACCTCTGGAAGGGAGCCAGCTGGCATGATGAAAGCAGGGACTAGCCAGCAGCATCGCTGGTGCCTTCTGCACATGAAAGACTGACATAAATGAGCAACCCAGGGGCCTTGGTGTCCCTGCAAGCTGCCGCTGCCCCTGTGTATGCAGGACAGCAGGCTGGGAGGCACCTAAAAGCAACTGCGTGCCGAGAGGGTGGCCAGTGCTCCCATTTCAGCCCCTGCTCCTGCGACTGGTGCAATGCAGCCTGTGTGCAAGCAGCCCTTGGGTTTTCCTCTCTTCACATCGTGGAGAAGAGCATCCCAGCGGTCACCTCCTGAGCTCTTTTCTTTTTCTCCCCCAGCTATTTCTTGTCCTCCACCTCCAGCTATTCCCAACGGGAAGCACGACGGCAACAGTAGGGAGTTCACGTACAACTCAGTCGTACTGTACACATGTGACCCTGGGCTCCAGCTTGTGGGAAATGAAACTCTGCGTTGTACAACGGAGAACAGTGTCGATGGCATCTGGAGTAGACCTCCTCCCGAATGCAGGGGTGAGCGTTGCTGGATAATCATCCTGTTCTTGAGTAGTTTTTCTTGCTGTGCAGTTAATTAGTCCTAATTCCCTTCCCTCAGAAAGGGAAGGACCCCAGTTTGGACAGGCATTCCTGTAGGGTTTGTTGCCAGAGGAGCAGCATCTGCTTACAGCAGTGATGGTTAGCAAGTCTGTGCTTTGCAAGGTGCCGAGCTCTGCTGAAGAACACCGTCAGCACAATCGTACACAGTTTTACATTTTTCACTTCAAGAGGAAAAGGTAGAATTTTAATAAACGATGTGTGAAGTGTATCACTAACTGCAAAGCTGGTGGACTAAACCTTGGAATGGATTTATAGCTAATGTCCAACAACACCGGGGCAATACGGCCAAGCAGGACAGCAGACTCCCCTCTATCCATAAGGCTTGTATTATCACCAAGAGCTCCCTGTGTGACTCTTCCACAGCTCTCACTGTTGTAGCCACGGATGCACAAGTCACCTGCCCATGCTACATTTACTCCTCACTGAAGTATTATATATATTATGTATAAATGGAGAATTATATAAAATATAATTTCGAGTGGTTTTCCTTTATTTTTTTCTCTATATAGTGAGGACTACAGCAGTGACAAATCACACTGAACCCCTGGAAGGGAATATAGCAGAGAATCGTTACTGGCTAGGTAAGAGTTCAGGAGATGCTTTCTGCCTCAGAGTCCTTTTAATTGCTGTAATTGCACCCACATTGGATGCCTGTGACTCCACACACTGTTGGATTTCTGCTTTCACTGTGCCTTCTTCATTTCTTTTGGTGGGTCCATCTTCCAGTTTCTAAGGGGGTTGCACAGCCTTGTTCCCTGGTCTAATCCCCTTTTCTCTCTGCTCCCAGCTGAGTCACTCCTTAGCTGATATGATACAGGGTAGGATTTTTGATGCTGGAATCTCCCTCCATGCAGCCAAGCATCTCAGTAGAAACCACAGACATTATCTTGGCTGTATTTGGACGTTGCTGAGGGTGGAGGTAGCCTGGAGTTACGGACCTCAGCTCCATTAGTGGAGAAAGGTGGGGCGAGGGACTCAAGATGAGCATAATGATATGTGTGTAGTTAACGACATTGTTTTACAGCATTTTGTCTTCTCAGCAGTGTTACGGTTATCTGGGTTTGAATAATATTGTTCTGTGGGCAAAGATAAGGAGCTTCCCTGTTTAGTTATCAGCATTGTTGGCTTCATTTTTTTAACATCAATTTTCTTCTTGTCTAGCAGGTATCCTCATCCCTAGTTGCATTGGTAAGTAGTTTAAAATTGAAAATATACTTTCCTAACCCAAAGCTGTTATTTGCTGTTAGATACCTGGAGTCGGTGGTTTTGGTTTATTCATTTCACTGCCCTAGTACTGAGCGTCTCTGGTCAGGATTCAGGGGGTTCTCTGCTGTTGGGTAATGCAGCAGCATTGCAAGCAACTGGATGGATTGTCTATGTCTTAGTATAAAACATTACATCAGTTGAATATGAAATGAAAGAAGCTAAAGAAGCCAGTGTAAGAAGCCAACCAAAAACTGTACGTCCTGTCACTCTTTAATTGATAAAGTTCCTTTAAAAGGCCTTGGCAGACATTGAGAGATGAGAGGTCGGTGAAGCCTGCGACATCCTTGTTGCAAAAGAGATCAAGTACTAAAAATGGTATGTTTAAAATACAAAAGAAACAGGAGGCTGTCTATAAAAGCACTAAATAAATGAGGATCACACCCTTAACAAGTTCAGCATGGCACCACACTTAGCAGCGGTTCCTGTGCTCTGTGTTCAGAGACACAAGAGGGGGTTTGCAGTATTCCGGCTGAGCGGAAGCCTCTGGGTGGTGACAGGCAGCCCCAGAGCAGAGAATTTTGCTGCCAGTCTTTTACCAAAGTGCAGTATTTTACTTAAATTACATACCAAATTTGTTTTTTGTTTTGTTTTGTTTTAAATTTCTTTATTTTTCAGTTGCTGCAATAGCCCTTGGAATTCTAACTGGGATCATCGTGAAATGGAAAGACAATAAAAACCAGTAAGTGAGCCTAAGCTGCCCCTTATAAATCATAACTTTCCCTAAGGATAATTGGGTATTTCCTTTTAAGCTCTAAGTGACAGTAATCACCTTCAGTATATATTTGCATGGTTGGTACTATCTTTCCATGTTGCTAAGTTGCTTTTTGTTCTATGAATTTCTTCCTTTCTGTCTCTTCAGGTCTTATAATATGCATTTACAAAAGCATGAGATGAAGGGAAGGGATCCACCGATGCACCCAAAGATAACAGACGATGAGAAGCAGCCCATGCTGTGGCGTTCCTATTTTTGGTAGGTTTGCTTGTTCACCTGCCCAAAACCTTGTGCCACTCTGCCGACTATACCCACGGATCTCACTGGTGTCACTTCTAGCTACGCCACACAGGCACGGCACATCTTTATGTAGTTTTTGACTCAAATGCCAGCGCCTCTGCCTCTGCGATGAACACGCCGCTCGCCAAAGAGGCGATGGCTGCTTCACGCGAGGGTTTGGTGTTCGCCAGCTGCTCTCGGGGCTCGGGCAGGAGGGATTCCCCCATCTCTGTCTCGCCCGCAGCCACGCGACGAGCTGCCACGTGTGTCCCACCTGCGAAGAGCAGCTGCACGCCGCCCTGGCCCCCCGCGCCGAGCCCGCGTGCGGCGGCTGCGCCGTCTGCGAGGACTGGCTGAGCGCCCGGCCCGGCACGCCGCGCACCTACTCGGTCCTCAGCATTGGCGCCGGGGAGAGCCGAAACCCGACAGGCGTGAGGTACCGTGGCCGACCGGGCGCTTGCTGCCGCTCCCCTTGCACGGGTCCATGGGAAGCAAAGTGGGGGGAAAGGGGAGCTTCTTGCGGGGGAGAAAGCGTCTGTACACGGCTAGAGCGGGTTTTGCAGTTTGAATTCCTTCGGTTCCTTTAAGTCCAGTTTTAGCGGTAGAAAGTATTTGCTATTTAGGAAAAAGCGGTTCCGTAGGGCAGTAGTCATTCTCGGAAAGCCATGCGTTCGGGTGGATTCAGGTTGTCTTCTCCCTCTTTCTCTGCGTGCAGCTCTCCTGCCAAAGCTGCAGATGTGCTGAGGGCTGACGGCACAGGCGAAGCTGTTCCGGAGCAGAGCGAGGCAGAGCAGCCCATGGACCACGAAAGGTCTGTCTTCCATCTTCCACTTAAAAACACACAGATGCCACAGTGGACTTGAATAAAAATAATTTCAGAGTAGAGTAGAACAGTATTTATTTGGGTAGAAAATAAGGGTATTGTACACCTCCTTGTTTATTCCCACCTGTCCTGGTCTTAGCTGGGATAGAGTTAATTTTCTTTCTAGTAGCCAGCATAGTGTTGTGTCTTGGATTCAGTATGAGAAGAATGTTGATAACACGCTGATGTTTTCAGTTGTTGCTAAGTAGTGTTTATACTAAGTCAAGGACTTTTCAGCTTCTCATGCTCAGCCAGCAGGAAGGCTGGAGGGGCACAAGAAGTTGGGAGGGGACACAGCCAGGACAGCTGACCCAAACTGGCCAAAGGGGTATTCCACACCATGTGGTATCGTGTCCAGTATATAAACTGGGGGGAGTTGGCCTGGGGGCGGATTGCTGCTCAGGAACTAGCAGGGCATCTGTCAGCAAGTGGTGAGCTATTGCATTGTGCATCACTTGTTTTTGTATCTTCCAATCCTTTTATTAGTACTGTCATTTTATTATTGTTGTTGTTATCTTTCTTTCTGTTCTATTAAACTGTCCTTATCTCAATCCACGATTTTTACTGTTTTTTTCCGATTCTCTTCTCCATGCCACTGGGTGGGGGAAGTAAGCAAGCGGCTGCACGGTGCTTAGTTGCTGGCTGGGGGTAAACCACGACACCACCTCTTTCCTGTCTTGATCCTGTGTTGAGTATTACAGCATTTACGTACTTTTAAAACACTAACCTCTCTGCTTTCCCCCCCTAAAACAAAGGAGCTCTGGGCAATTTTTGTGCTTTGTTCTTTCGGTGCTTTTAAAAGGCATTCTGCACGTGCACGTGTTTCTCGTATTTCTTTACTCGTGTTGCTTTCTGGCAGTTGCAGCGTACACTGCCGTGCCCCGACGCTGCCCGCAGCGCTCAGCGTGCAGGGCCGGCCCAGAGCTGCCCTCTCTGCTTCCCCTCTGCTCTGTGAGAGCAACGCTGAACTGCAGCGTAATTGGGTTTGCAGGTTTGATGAGGTGAGGGTGGGAACCGGGGCCCTAGCTGTAAAGAGGCACAGAAACATCTTGTACACTTTAGCAAAGCAAGGGAGGTTTGTGATAGAGCTAATTCCAGGGTTTCATCCTGCTTGGGACGGTTCCTCAGTACCAGGGAAGCCGGAGGTGCCCAACTTCACAGCGATTTTTGAGTCTCCCTCGAGAGACTCAATGCACATCCTCAACAGTGCTTCTCCACAGCAACCATCACGTCTGTCCCACCTGTGAAAGCTGGCTGCGCGCTCACCTTGGCCAGTGCGAAAGCCGTCCCGTGGCACCCGGGGAGCGACCGGGGGGGCCCCGCCGGCAGGACGAGGGGTGAGTGCGCTGCGGCCGGAGCAGGAGATTCCTCTCGGCAGCCGGGCACCGCGGCGTGCACCGAACGTCCTCAAAACTGAGAGTTAACCGCTTAACTTAAAAATACAAATATGACAGAGGTGTGTAAATGTGGTTCCGCTTGCTTACAGCTCAGTATCGGGGTAAAGGTGTGGTACCTGCTTGCAAGCAAAGAGAGGTGGAACTGGTGTGAGGTTTATTTGGAAAACGCTTGTGCGGTTTCTTTGGGCGTCTCTGAGTCAGCTTGTTCTCCCAGCTGTCCTCACTTGGCTCGGCCTCACATCTTCGCTGGCCCATGATGGAGCTCTGGTTTCAGTTAAGCAGCAAAGAACCTGAGTGCTGTAAGAGACTCTGCAGCGTGGGCCTTCTGTTTACCCAGCTGCTGAGTGCTTTTTCCATCTCTAGGCATGGCTAGTTTGTTCGGGGCAGAGCAGTGACGAAGTGAGCAAAGTGATGCTGTACGCTCAGGAGGTTTTTTGACACCTGCCCACGCGAGCCTTGTGCTCTCTCAGGCCCACAAAGCTTCCTTAACAGAGTCATCACTGAGAGAGGCAAATTCAAATAAATATTTGGTTAAAGCAAACATGGTTTGAGGTGTGCATCCACCTGCTTTAGCTTTTGTATGTATGTACTTCTTTTTACCAATAATTTACTTCATGCTGCTCCCACGAGTGCTTGCTATTAGCCCTAACCCTGGAGGAGCCATTTCAGTTCTGCACTCATGAATCACTACTTGTCTGAGTTTATAAAGTTAGTATTTTTGAAATTGTTAATGAAACTAGCTTTTGCGGGTGCCAGAGCCTGTGCAGTATGGCTTGGCGAGGAGCACTTTCTGACACGAACCCGTCGGGGCTCACCCCCGGCTCTCTCTCCACAGCCCCCGGGGTCCCGTCTGCCCTCTCTGCGCCGACCGGCTGCACCTCTCCCTCATCCACCGCGACACGGCGAGCTGCCCCGTGTGTCCCCTGGCCAGAGAGGGGACCCCGGCTCACCTCGTCCCACGCTGCACCCCCAGCTGCCACGTCTGCCCCGTCTGCACGGCGCCCACCCACGCGCACCTCTGCCAGGTATTCGACAGTGGGGACCTGCGCGGGGGGCACCCAAAACGCCCTTCGGGGGCCCAGCAGCTGCAAACCAGAGGCTCCACGGGTCATTCCTCCCAAACCCAAGGGGCTGCAGCGCGCAGCAGTAAACCCTAATTAACTGCTCATTTCCCTGTTGCAGGATAAATGGCGACAGCTGTAGCATCCTTAGCGGCACAAACGTGGTCGGAGAGAAGGGAGAGTTGCTACACTAACTCCTGATGTCAGGGATGAAGTTCTAAGTGCAATAAGGCAACCTGAAGCCCAGTGTCTGACTTCACAATCAAGAATTTCTTTGTGAAGAAGCAGGAAAATCAAACATACTTCAAATCCAGCTGGGTGTTGGTTTAATGTCTACGTTTTAATTTGTTTTGGTACGGAAAAACTATTTCTGCAGCTCTTAAAGTGAGGCTTTAAAAATTCAGTAAACGTTTCTTTCCACTAGGAAAATCATTTCATAGTAAACACTCTCTTTGCACAATCTTGCAACATTCACTTATATTTTTAAAACTACTTTTTTACTGAGGTTCCTTTACCAGTGTGTAGATACGAGTGTGAAAATTGCAGTATTTATAGTAAAACTGTTTTGTAATTAAAAGGAATATAAAATAAGCCATACTGGTATCCTGGCTTGGGTTTGGGTTTTTTTCATGTTTACTAATCAAACCTTCTCACAGAGCACTTTAAATGATTTTGCATTCTCATTCTTCGCCGGATGTAATCAGCTGCTCAGGTAATTGGTGCTGCTCAGATAATTGCTGCTGTTGTGTTGCACTGTTGTCTGTAGCAGCGTGCCTGGCCTTTCCTGGGAACTGTGATGACGGAGGCGAGGCACTGCTGCTGGAGCGGAGCCCATTTCCACCCCAGGCAGTATCAGTGAGGTGCGCGCTCCTCTCCAGGTGTGACCTTCCCCTTGGCCAACCCCAGGTATTCTTGGACCGGTCATATTCTGTGCCCAAAAACAACAGGGTGCGGCTCCAGCAAGGAGTTCAGAGGATTAAACTAGCTGCTCCCCGCTTGGTGTTTGCTGGCTTGTGCTCCTCGTTTTGCTTTGACGTGGGGACAGAATTAATAGTCATAACACAGAAGCTGTAAAAATTGCCTTTCTTCTTTATTGGTGTTTGCCAAGAGATTGAGTTTATTTGTGTTCTGGCGGGAGACAGGCAGCACTACAGGTAGCACAGACAGGGGCTGTGCAGTTATCTGATTCTGCTGTTGTATTTGTCACCAAACTGGGACGCAGCACGTTTCCGTGGGCTTGTGCCGATGGGTGCAACCCTGGTGCTGCTTTGAGGAGAGGGAGAGGCAACGGCCATCTGGGCATCTAAGGCGCCCCGTGCCCTGGCTGCCGTCCCTCACCGTCCCCTTTTGAGCGTCCCTTCGAGCCTGGGGCTGGGGGCAGCAGGGGCTGTTCCGCGGGTGCCAAGCGGTCCCCCCAGCGTGCCCTAAGCCTCACCGAGCTGACGCGGAGGGAGAGGTGCGATGAAGAGAAGACGTAGGCATGGCGCGACGCAGGTGTAGCGGTGGTTCAATCGCCCTCCGAGCGCTGCGAAATCACGGGGAGCCTGGGGTGGCCTCGTCCTGTCCTTGAGTTGATGAGGGCCAAGGGCAAGGGCGATGGGTGGACCGCCCGAGAACAAGCATCCCCTCCCAGGGCAGACACTCCCGTGCTTTTACAGCATGGCTTAGGATAAGTCATGCAGATGGCGTGGCGGGTTACTCATCTCCCCGGGAAAAACTTTCCGTGGCACCGGCCGGGGGGGGGGGGG